GGGGGGGGGGGATTCTGAAGGGGATTAACTGGGAGTGGAGAAGGGGGGGGATTGTACATAGGAGAAGGACTTGAAGGATTTAATTGATCTACATTAATTTGTATAGAGCCAATTATACGATTGATGTAAAACACAGAGGTCCGGGGTTTTCTTGTTTATGCAGCTATAATTCTAGTGTTACTGTTTCTATAATTCCTGTTTTCACATTGCAGAGTTAGCTGTACTTGAAATTCTTATTTAACTACTGTGATCTATCCAGGCTACAGTTGTTGCATTAAACGTGCTGGGTCGACTCTACATTGGGTAGTCCAGACTGGACTGTTCGACTGCATTTACAAAATTGTGGCTTAACTTTTTTTCTTAATAAAAGCTAAAGAGATATTTTATATTTAAACAATCACGGTTTATCATTTCTCAATGTTTGCGCCAATTCTTGAGGTTCGCTAAAACATTGTACGGAGCGAACGTCAGTTATATGGTACAGTGTACATATTGTACAAGTTGTATAAATCCTCTCTACTCAATTATTCTGGTTGAAGTCTGATTAATTTTGAGTAAATCCAGTTTAAGGGTAAATGTAAATTCAAACCTACACAGCTCGAACTCTAATAGAAGAAATCCATGCATTAAAAAAAGTGATAAACATGAATTCAAACCACCTCAAACCAGCTAAAGAGCAACATCCGACCAAATCATTTTACCGAATTTATAAAACAAACTATAAGTCGAACAAAAAAAAACATATTTTTGTTAATTCTCTTTCATTTTTTCCTGTTATAATCTATATAGACACAAATGTTAGCCATTGCACCCAGGGTTATCTAGGGGCTTCCAGCCCCCCTCCCCCTGTACTCCCTTGTTCAGCGTTAGGTGATGTTTTCCTATGCCCGCATACTAAAGTTTTAGCAACTAAGTAGACCTGATTTGGTATCTTTCAAAGTTATTTTAGACTCAGCTATTAGTCTCATATTGTATCAGTAGGTCAGCTTTTAGTCTCATATTGTATCAGTAGGTCAGCTTTTAGTCTCATATCGTATCAGTAGGTCAACTATTAGCTGAGGAGCGAGAAAGAATCTCCAAGTTAATCCTTGGGGAATTTAACAAATAAAAATTATATTCAGAATATATTTTGAGAAAACTTGCTTCTGTTTTTGTTTAAAAAAAACCTCAACTAAATCAAATTTTGTAAAAAGTTTGGTTGTAACTAAGGTTCTGAATAGTCGACCTGCAGATGTAATACTGGTTCATAAAAACTGTATTCTGTAAAAGTTTACTTTTTAAAAAATTTTTAATAAAAAATGAAAGTTCAAGAAACTGAACCAAGTAATTGCCAATCACAATCAGGTTAAACAAATTGTGCTCTTACTAAATCACCAAGTAATTAAAAGAAAACGTTATTGAAAAATACTTTTTATCGAAAATAAAACAACTTGGCGTTTTGTGTTGATGACGTTTTATTAAACTTTAGATCGTTTCTAAACAAATCCCAACCCTGCTCTCTATCAACTTGAATTATATCACTTTCTTCTCAATATATTTCGCTAAAAACTTTGGCATCATCAGGATTTCGTCCTATAATATAACAGATATAAGCAAAAAATAAAAATAAAAAATACAAACACAGCAACTATAATAAATACAGAAGAGAACAAAAATAAAAATCTTTTTTATGTAAAATGGAATTTTTCAAAATGAATATTGTCAGAACACATAAAACTTAAAAGAAAAATTAGAAAACCGTACCTTACTCTTTTGAAGAGTATTGAATGACTGGGAAAGGATTGANAAGGCAAGAATAAATAATCTATCTGCAATGTTTGGCTCCAAGTATAAGTAATTAAGAAGTATTGCGATAGCTTTATACATAAAGGCAGAAAAAGTATCACGTCAGCTGATCAAGTTTTGTATCACGTCAGCTGATCAAGTTTTGTATCACGTCAGCTGATCAAGTTTTGTATCACGTCAGCTGATCAAGTTTTGTATTAATTTGATTTTTTTTTTCTAAATCTTATATTTATTATAGATGATAGATTAACTTTTAATATTTAATTTTGTGATTTTCCTTTTTGATTAGAAATAAATTAATAAGATTTGTTTGACAAAACTTGTAAAACATATTCCTGTTGATATGTATTTATCTTTATACCTAGAATTTGATGTATTACGGGAACATATATTCGTAAATTGGTTGAATTTTAGATTTCTAATTTTTTCTCAGAAACACTCCTATTCCTTTTCTACGATTACTATTAATACGTGATACCAGAAAATGAAAATGAATAAGTATTTAAAAACATTATTAGAACTAAAAATATTAATTTATAGTTCTGAAAACATTTTACATAAAGTGGTCTGGAGATAATAAAATAACATGATCATTATAAATTGGAACATTTTATTAAAAAAACAGTTCTTAGGCAGGCATTTCAGAGATAAGATATTTCACAGGTAGGACATATTACAGAGGTAACTATATCTATCTACATTAACAATAAACAAGGAAATGATTGTAATCTTTGTTAAAAAATACCTTTCTTTCTGTAACTGTAACTGTTATTGGTAATATTTCTCTGCAATTTTAAACAGTTCCAGATTGTAACCTTGTTAGATTCGTATTTTTACTAAAACGAAAAACGAAAGACGAAAATCGTTTAACTATTTTTTAGAATTATTACTGTCACAGTTTTGTAAGGTTCTATCTAGTGGTCGGCATTTTTATCAATGATACTTTTCTATTTAAGTTTTGATTTCTGACAAACTTTTTTCAAATTACAAGTTTAAAAGTAAACAAAGTGAAGCTGTTGATTGACAGCTACTCTTAGTTTTCATTTTTATGTGTATCCATACTGTTAAAAAACTTGGTCAAAATTAAAAATTGAAATCGAAAGTCTACTTTATTGTATTGATCTATACGACGACGACTGTAGGAAATGTTCATTGCATGTCTTACTCAAGGAGTATGGAATAGAAGGGAGATACAACTGACGCGGCCCGCTCTACCATATGATTATACATCGGAGAAAGGGTAGAGTTTACATACCCCGGATCTGTGTACACTGTATATACACAGATGCCGCAACCCGTATTTTTCCTATGTACTGTATGGCACTACATGATCTATACCTATAACACCATAGAGAATAGAATATATAGAGAGGAATTAAAAGAATCTCTCTGTATGAATATTTTCAATCCCTTTCAGCCTGAAAGGGAGTTCAAAGTGTACAAATCATGTAAATGTTCACAAATTATAAGCAGTAGAGTACATTAATAAACTAATTATATACACACTAGGTTTTTAGGGCACTTTGCGTCCCTATATCTTTAGCTTTAAAATGTTACTTTACAAGGCGCCATTTATTCTTTAGACAACATAAACTTAAAGTTTCTCAGATTTAACTGTTTATATGATGGAATTCCAAAATCTTTTAATTCGACTTTTTTTCTTAGCAAACTTCTACAAAATGCATATAGATACATTGTCAATCTTCTCTTGGGTCCTTTGAAAAATTTGGCCCGATCGGTTCAGCCGTTTTGTCCTTTATTAATACAACACATAAAATCCATTAGAAGGGGGTCATTCATTTGGTGTACTGTCCTGTTTTGTCATATACAATCTGCATTTGTACTGTACAGGTTGCTCTAGCAGGATAAAACTCGTCCCGGTACTTGGAATGAACTGGAGTGAACAGTGAAAAACCAACAAACAGAAGAGCAAAAAGATATATAATTAAACATGGATACCAGATGATGAAAACTTTTCATGTAACAGAAGGATTTTATTTGTTGGTTAAAACTTTCTGACCCCACATCTATATGCAAATAAATATATTATTTCCTTTATACTGAGACAGGGGGATTTAAGAATGTATAACACCGATTCCCTTCTGTCCCTGATCTCTGTCCTTATTGCAAAGACGACAGATTACACCCCTTGTTATACATACATGCTTTGCAGACGGGTACTCCATTTGTATAAGAAATATTCAGAATTGGTTATTGTTTGCGCGGTAATTGTACATCAGACAAATATTTCTTATTAAAATAAAGTACCATCTGCAAAGCATGTATATAATCATATGTTAGGGCAGGCCACGTCAGTTATATCTCCCTTCTTATTCCATACTCCATGGTCTTACTATAAAATGTTCCAGCGACAACATTGAGAACGGAGTACAATCTAAGTACTATCAGTAACATGTACATTATTAGTCTATAAAACTCTTTATTAAGTGCCTAATGATATTAAAACCCTGGTATATTTGTAATGTTGTAGGCATGTAGCGGATGAAAATTCCCGAAAGGGTATTGTAAAATCCTCAAATTACTCTTTCGATTTCAACACTTTGGATGCTTTGACCGTGTAGTAAAGCATCAAAAGTTTAATTTAAAAGCATCAAAAACAACATTTGAAAGCATCAAAAGCAAAATGCAAATTAAATTTGATGCCTTACTCAATCTTTTTGAGAAAATATTAACTTTCTAGTCAAATTATTTTCCCTGCAGCTTTTCAGATGGATTTAACACCACAAATATTTCCTCATCAGTTGTAAAATAAGATGAAAGAAATCCTTCATTTTTCTGGTCAAAGACTATTTTTGATGCTTTAAGAAAAACCTTTGATAAGGGCAAGTTTTGGCAAGAGAGGAAGAAGTACCATAGCCCCCCCGGCCCACCCTCCCTCCTTTTTCGGATAAAATGACTCAGGATATCCAAATATCCAAATTGCCAAATTTCTTAATAGTTTGCTGAAAATGGCAAATAGTTAATGGCTATGATATAGTATATAGATCAGGATTATCAAACCAGCGAAGAACTTGTTTTAATGTCGTCTCCCTTTTCCGCAGTATAATTTGTTCTACTGTATGCTGCACCATACAGCTGGTTAAATCTATGAAATATATAAATATTGTGGGTTTCGTCTTCATATCATCTATAGGATCAGTGGAATAACAAGAAGAACTGGATTTAGTTTCCAGTTTCTCTGCCTGCCGGGGATACAGGCTCTCATATACTCACTTAGCAGGATAGTTTCTACTCCAGGGTACAGACAACTACAGAGTACAGACTACAGAGAGAGAGAGCCCTACTGTCTGTTGTTAGTATACTCCGGAGTAAGCAACATGTCCTGGGTTCACGTGTCTCAATCTTCTCATTTTCCAATCCAAAACCTTCCCTACGGAGTATTTTCCACCAGTGAGAATCCTACACATCGTATCGGAGTAGCTATCGGAGATCAAATTCTTGATCTTTCTAAAATTTCTCATCTTTTCTCCGGACCTCAGCTCTCAAAACATCAGGTAAATTTCTATGTCTTTTATTTTATATTTCACGTCCCCATGGGACCTAGAAACTTTTTCTTTCTTTATTTCCCGTTTCAAACTTTTTTAGAAAGTTGTCATAGAATATTTAAAGAAAGGAAAATAAACTTCAAAGTTTGTTTTATGATCGCTGTATCACATAAATATGTTGCAATACCGGGAAAACAGCTGTTCGTGAAAATTTAACAATTCAGGGGATAGATCAAATACAAGGGGGTTGGAGGGGAGGGNATTTTTAATTAACTAAACTTTTAAACATATTGTCAGGATGTATTTAAAGAGACAACATTAAACGGTCTGATGTCTCTCTCCCGTGCCTGCTGGATGGAAGCTAGATCTACCCTGATATCTCTCCTCACCGTGGGAAACCGAACCCTGCAAGATGATACAGATCTCAGGACTAAGGCTCTGGTTCCTCAGGACGGAGCTAAGATGCATCTACCAGCAAAAATAGGAAAAATTCCAGATTATAGATTATATGTTCTAGATCAATTTTATTCTGAAATTGACAAAATTAATGATTCCTCGCCTCAAACTCTAATTTTCTAATCCTTATATCTTTGCAAATTGATGATGGTGTAAAACTTTCATATTTCAAACTTTAACAATTAAAATTTAACAGCATTTATAGTTTAAAATATTCAAGGTTTACAACATCAGGTGGCAACGATATAAAAATAAGGTTGAGAACAGTTACTACATTGGTCAGGGTATATCCATACAATGAAGACGATTTTTTATCAATAATGCTTTAATCCCATTTTTGCAAATTACAAGCTTACAAGTAAATAAAGTTGAGATGCGGTTAATTTCACAACTTCGCTTTGTTAACATGTTCGCTGTTTGGAAGATCGATAGAAATCAAAATTGAAATAGAGAGTCGTCTTCAATGTATTGATAAATACGACGACGACTGTGTGTAAGCTCAATACTCTCTGTAATTTTAGTTTCCCAGGTCAGAATGAATATAATCTGGAGCTTGTATTTGTACAGGAGACTACACTGACTTCTATTCCTCCCTGGATCATGCAACCAATGTCGGAATCATGTTCCGAGGGAAGGATAACGCACTCATGCCAAACTGGAAATATATTCCTGTTGGATATCATGGTAGAGCTTCAAGTGTAGTTATATCCGGGTAGGTCTAATATATTCCTGTTGGATATCATGGTAGAGCTTCAAGTGTAGTTGTATCCAGGTAGGTCTAATATATTCCTGTTAGATATCATGGTAGAGCTTCAAGTGTAGTTGTATCAAGGTAGGTCAAATATATTCCTGTTGGATATCATGGTAGAGGTTCAAGTGTAGTTGTATCCAGGTAGGTCTAATATATTCCTGTTGGATATCATGGTAGAGCTTCAAGTGTAGTTGTATCCAGGTAGGTCTGATATATTCCTGTTGGATATCATGGTAGAGGTTCAAGTATCCAGATGGTCAAAAAACTCAACAATACTGTCCTATTTTAAAATTTTCCCATGTTTTTTGCTTCAGAAATAAGGAATACGTCGGCATTTTTCACAAACCTTTGCTAAGGAGAATGTTTACTTTGAATCTCGAGTGATTGTTTTTTTTTCATAAATATTTTCTTATGAAGAATCTGAAACTTAGTATTTAGACTTGAATTCATCTCCAAAGTTAAAATTACATTACTCTTTCAACCTTTAGATGAGTAACAATGAGGAAGATATCGTCATTTTTCTATCTTGAAAAGTGTCTAATTTTGACAATTTTCTCTGTTGGCTCTTTTGCATAAATCCGCAGGTACCTTTTGGATATGCCACTCTTTAAATGAAGGGTCACTTAACATTAAGTCGGTAGTCCCTTTAAGCATGATTTACCCAATATGAATAAACCTTGTTTATCCTAGAACACCTATCCGGCGACCCAACGGTCAAACCAAACCTGTTGATGCCGAGCCCCCCGTGTTTGGACCTTCAAAACTTATGGATTTCGAGCTCGAGATGGCATTCTTCGTCGGGGGTCCAACACCACCCATGGGAGTTCCGATCTCGATGGATAACGTTGAAGATCATATATTTGGAATGGTTCTAATGAATGATTGGTCCTCTAGAGATATTCAGAAGTGGGAATACGTTCCTCTTGGTCCATTCCTAGCAAAGGTATAACTTTAAACTTAAATAAAATATTTTTTTGATATAAATCCGAAACGGAATTCTAAGAATCAAATCAAAATCTATAATTCTGAACAAGTTTAGATACAGGGAGTCGTAAATTATTATAGAGACGAATACAATTTAAAACTGGGCTTTCAGCTGAGTGGCTTCAATCGTAAAACTTCGAATTTTAATTCACTCTAAACATTTTTCTCCAAAGTCTGGGGTTTCCATAATGTGGTCCGCCATTCTAACTGATTTTGAAAAGATAACGAAAATTTTGGAATCTTTTGAAACCCCAATCTTCCATAAATAGATTTGTAAGATTAATGCATGACGGTTAAACTATCCTTCACACTCATGTTTATTTTAACTCCCCGAATACTAATAATCCGACTAATGAATGAGTTGATACATAAGTGTATAAGACTGACCGGAACTGAACACTTGCCACAAATCTTCTAATCCCGATATCTTTGCTGAACAAAACTTTAAAATACCTTAGAATTAATGTCGCTTCGTCACAAACAAAAACTTTAAAAAAAGATCTTAATAATTAACATTTCAAATCTATTTAAAGAACCTTGGAACATCGATCTCCCCCTGGGTGGTTTCTATGGAGGCGTTGAAACCCTTCTCCGTGGAGAACTATCCACAAGATCCTCAACCTTTCCCTTACCTTCGACACCAGGATAAATATACTTTCAACGTGGATCTCACGGTCTCCATTAAACCTAAGAACGGAGAGAATACTGTAGGTTGGTGGATTTGCAATTCTTATTCAATCTGTTTCTCTGTTATGTTTTTCTATGTGCTTTAATTCTGGTTCATATTTTCTTACTAACAATTGTTCCTGTTTCTATAGCACTTTCTTTGCTTGTCTCTTTTTAACTTATAGTTCGTCATTATATACCTTCCCTTTTTTCATTTCTTTTTTATATTGATGGAACCTGCTACACTGTAGTCATCATCATAGTATATAGTATGATATTATTCAATACCAATCTTTTATCATTTTTCGTATATTTCTCTGAATTTTCTCAAAAATATTTAGTTTCTCGGTCTAATTTCCGGCATATGTATTGGACTATGAAGCAACAGCTGGTACATCATTCTATATCAGGTTAAATATCTGTATTAATACATTTTTACCTTATACCCTTTTTTACTTATTATAAAACCGAACACTCTCCATAAAATTCTAATGAAATTGGAACATACTCAGATTTTTTAAATCAAAGTTTACATAATTAAAGTGATTAGAATTTTGGAATTTGTGGCAAACACTCAATTTCTTTCTAATCCCTGATGTCTATTGAGTATAACCCTTTGATATTTCAAACTATAAATCCTGCTCAAATAGTCTACCTCTAAGTTTGAAATATCAAAGGTTTACAGCATCATAAGGTTTCAGTATTCCGTTCTAATGTTTTTCCATTTATTTATACAAATATTTGTGCATTTATGTATACATATTAAACTGCTGTGCTGATTCTTAACAAATTAAAAAAAAAAGTATGCTTTTTCTAGGCTGCAACATGAACCCTGGCGATTTACTGGCTTCAGGAACCATCTCAGGACCTGTAAGTTAATTTAATATACTAAGATTTTAGAGTTCTTCGTTCCCCTGTTCTTTCAACGATTTCAGATTTTCACTGTTGCTTTTCAAGCTGCCATTTTTCATCGTGTTCTAATCAAAACAAATTTTCGCGGATTTTTCTGTTAAAATTGGTGAATTTTATTACTCATAAATGTCGGTATTTTTTTGAGGCAAAACTTTTTAACTTCGACTAGTCAACCCCCTTTGTATTGGTAATGTTAGACAAAAAATTTGGGCCCAAGCGGTTTCAAGGATGCAAACAAACAAACAGACAAGCCAAATATATACATAGATTTATCCGCTATTTTAGTATAGGTCAGAATGGAGCTTAAAGGGGCAATACAGGAAAAATGAAAGGGGGTATAGGCTGAAACCTGAGAATCTCAGGAGTTGAACGATACCTAAAAGAAATTGAAAGTCGTCTTCATTGTATTTATACGATGACGACCGTAGCTGAACATGTCCGGTTCATGTCGAATAATTTGATCCATTAGTACAGTGGTAACCAGAAAACAGTGACATTTTGTCCGTTTTCGTATTTACTTTTAACAAGAGGAGGTGAAATTGAAAGAAAATGTTGTTTTCAAGTATTAAGTTTAATAAATAGTTTTTAGTTCAGAAAGGTAAAGTTTTCGCTCCCTCCAAAGACACAAATAATAATACTTCAATTGACAAAAACGAGTAAGAATTTGCCCTGTAATGAGACTACAAGTTAAATGTTAACCCTGTGTGTATTTATCTACTTATAGTTTAATATGATAAATTAAGTTCTAGTCTATAAATTTAACGTTTATGAACTAATTATCAAGTTTACAACTTCAGGAACCGAGTTCCTTTGGTTCTATGCTTGAGTTATCCTGGAAGGGATCAAAACCCGTCCCAATGCAAGGAGGAGGAGAGAGAAAATTTCTGCAGGTAAACCGTCCTATTCTTCTAAAATAGAAACTCAGAAGTAATTTTTTCAAATAAGGATTACCTCGCGAGCTATTTTTAAAAATCCAAAGTAACTGATAATTCGCATCAAAGCTGTTTACATCAACAGGATGCATAGAACGAGAGTTTGTTGCAAGTGATCAGCTCCTGTCGGGGTGACACAAATATTAAAAATATAAATTTTTGTATATTTGCTTTAAAATTAATTAGATACATGAGAAACTTTAAACTTAACTAAGAATGAGAAGTATTTAATTATAATGGTGTCAGATAATGGTTGAAAGTCTTAAAGGAATTGTTCCATTCAAGTCTTTTTTGTCTTACTTAACACTGATTTCCGTTAAACTTAATTATTTGCGACTGGAAACTGTGAAAAGCCACGAAAAGCTCTTTTATGAGGATTTAAAAAGAAATTGTTAAGGATGGAGATACAGTTATCATGGAAGGGGTATGTATCGGAGAAGATTTCAAGATTGGGTTCGGTTCGGTAGAAGGAACCGTCATACCTGCTCTTCAGATGTAATCAGTCAATCATTTAATCAATCAGAATAATAAATCATATTTTTCTAATCATGTTTTTTTTATTACATAAAGAAGATATAATATAATTGTATTTTTAATTAATGAGTTGTGAAAACCATAGCCTTTAACATATGATCTAATAAAGATCAGAATAAAAATGCCTCTCAAAATGATCTAAATAGCTGATATAATGACAGGGATAAGTGCGCGATTAAACCCTCTTATTTTAGTTCTCTCTAATGCCTGTACGACCACTTCACAGAATATCGAAGAGGAATTTATCTTACCCATAGGACTGCTCAAAATAGAAATTACTGCTTGATGCCCGGATAAGCTGGATGAACTAAATGAGCTGAATGAACTGAATGAACTGAATGAACTGAATGAACTGAATGAACTGCATGAACTGAATGAACTGAATGAACTGAATGAGCTGAATGAGCTGAATGAACTTAATGAACTGAATCAACTGAATCAACTGAATCAACTGAATGAATTGAATGAACTGAATGAACTGAATCAACTGAATCAACTGAATCAACTGAATCAGCTGAATGAGCTGAATGAACTTAATGAACTGAATCAACTGAATCAACTGAATCAACTGAATCAACTGAATGAATTGAATGAACTGGATGAACTGAATGAACTGAATGAACAGAATGAGCTGAATGAACTGCATGAACTGCATGAACTGCATGAACTGCATGAACTGCATGAACTGCATGAACTGGATGAACTGAATGAGCTGAATGAGCTGAAATGAACTGGCTGAACAGGATGAACAGAATGAACTGAATGAGCTGAATGAGCTGAAATGAACTGGCTGAACAGGATGAACAGAATGAACTGAATGAACTGAATGCCAGAAATGAACTGGATGAACAGGATGAACTGAATAAACTGAATGAAGTGCATGAACTGAATGAACTTGATGAATTGGATGAACTGAATGAACTGGATGAACTGAATGAACTTGAATTCCATAAATGAACTGATTGAACTGAATGAACTGAATAAACTGAATAAACTGAATGAACTGAATGAACTAAATGAGCAGAATGAATTGAATGAACTGAATGATCTGAATGAACTGAATGGACTAAATGAGCAGAATGAATTGGATGAACTGAATGAACTGAATAAACTGAATAAACTGAATGAACTGAATGAACTAAATGAGCAGAATGAGTTGAATGAACTGAATGATCTAAATGAACTGAATGAACTGAATGAACTAAGTGAACTGGATGAGCTGGATGAACTAAATGAATTGAATGAACTGAATGAACTGAATGATCTGAATGGACTAAATGAGCAGAATGAACTGAATGAGCTGAATGAACTGAATGAACTGAATGAACTAAGTGAACTTAATGAGCAGAATGAACTGAATGAACTGAATGAACTGAATGAACTGAATGAACTGAATGAACTGAATGAATTGAATGATCTGAATGAACTGAATGATCTGAATGATCTGAATGATCTGAATGGACTAAATGAGCAGAATGAACTGGATGAACTGCATGAACTAAGTGAACTTAATGAGCTGAATGAACTAAAGTTGAACTGCATGAACTGAATGAGCAGAATGAATTGAATGGTCTGAATGAACTGAATGATCTGAATGAACTGAATGATCTGAATGAACTGAATGAACTAACTGAATGATCTGAATGAACTGAATGGACTAAATGAGCAGAATGAACTGGATGAACTGAATGAACTAAATGAACTGGATGAGCTGAATGAACTAAGTGAACTTAATTTGAAAATTACTCTTATACTCTGCCCTCAGTCTGTTCTGATCTCCTAGTACTATATGTTTGCTCCGGTAAGAAAACTCTGAATCTAAATAAGTTTTTTTATTTATTTAGATATTTATTTATTTAATTTATCTCTATTACAGCTTCTTTCTCAAACTATATAATAAAGCTCTTCGCTTATGTATATATATTTGTGAATATATTTATATGTTAGCTACACAGTGAGGCTTAACCCCTTCAAGACACTACTGGAGTCCAATGTCATCCCCGCCCTTTGTGATTTGATTTGATTTGTGTCAGACATGAAATTAATTCTACGCTAAAGAGGGGGGTTACCCGAGAGTTCCATATGTAAAAATTCATATTCCGGGACTGAGGGAATCAGTAGAAAATCTACTGTAAAGATTTGGAGAAATTCAGGTTTCAGTCCTGATTTCACAGATACTTGAAAGTTTAGTAGCTACAGGCCTGTCTAAAATCACAACTGGGTGGGAGCTTTATCGAAAACAAAGCTGCAATAGAAAATGTATAGCCTTAAATTGATTCATATATGCGGGCTCTTTGCCCATCACCATGTTACATTTTTTAATTCATAGATCAATAAAAATAGAACACACGATGTCGACTTTTTAAGATTTAGGGTTTTTTTTCGTTCACAATACCCCTGAGGCAGAAGCCCAAAGAAGTTTCGCGCATGCTCTCTCTCTGTCTTGTCATTCACGGAGCATGCGCATAACTCCTTCAGAAAACCAATTAATTCACCATAAAAAAAAACTCATGTATCATGTTGTTTAAAGTTGCACAGCTTGCAATGTGGTGAACGAGATTCATGAAATTCCGTTTGTTGGCATAAAACTGTAAAGAGGGGAGAACTGCTAGGATTTAAGAACTTGCCTGGAGTCAGGTGAAACTCAGGATCGGTTAGTGCACAAAATATACCTCTAAAAGATCAGCTGTAAACCCTAGAATGCCAGGATTAGAGAACATATCTGGAGTTAGAATATATACTTCTAGGCGGATTCAACAAATAATTTATATATATATATTCCTGATCTGATTTAAATTTTTTAGATTTCTAAAATGTAAATAGAGATCCCGTAACTCATGCTCAAAGTAAAAAAAAACCAGGATTTAATCAATTTTTAAATCAATCCGCAGGCGTATGTCCATTTAATAACCCTCATTCGCAATCGCGACCGGGTATGACCACAAAAAAAATATACGCTTTACACGGTACAAGTTTTGCGTCAAAGTCCTGTCCGCGCTTTGCTAAAATGCAAATTGAATATCATTGGGGGCCAGGGGATTCAAATATTCTGCATGACACCTTTTTTCAGCATTCCACCAAAATATTGCACTTTTGGGGCGTATACAGGATATAGTCAAGGTATGGGCTTAAACTTTTTTACATTCCAGAATTTCTTCCTAAATTTTTTATGGTTTTCACTTCAATAGTGTCATCATTAACAATAACACTGAATTTAAGATCGCGCGGACAAAACTACAAGTTGGAAGTTCTTTGAACTATTTAAAGTCATAACTTGAGTCCTAAAGTCGTCTTCCTATTCCAGAGTTTTATGGTTCTCGCCGTACTTGACAGGGGGATTGTTATTAAAATGATAAATTTATTCAATTCTAAACGCGAAAAATATTTAAATTCGTGAACACAAGCTGTACAGTGATTAAACCATGGAAAACTGCATGAGTAGGAAGACGACATTAAAGCAATACTGAAGTGCATTTGATTATTATAAAGCAAATATTATAAAGCAAATAACTTTATTAGCAAGTTATTAAATCACAATGGGTCTGATGTACACTGCACAACTGTAGTGTCTCATGTTCATTGGCTATTTAAAGTCTAGCTTGATTCTAAAAGTCGACTTATTATATCAGAGGTTTCCATGGTTATCATTATACGAAATTGGGAAACAAATTGCATTGTCTTAAAAACGGCCCAGGTTTGTTTTATAAAAAACCTCCTATTACAATTTTGATTTTAGAAAACAATACAATACCATGCACAATTCTTGTCCTTGTCATGCTTTTAATAATGATTTATTCATCTCTTTTATTATTGACTTTTGCTCTCGATATGGGACGGGTACCCTAAAACACCCAATCTTTCAGTTTGAGCCCGTTTTTAACACTCAGTTATGTAATGGGACATAAATCCTGTTTTGAACTAATGTCCCCTGAGCTTCAAATACAATTTTTCAAAATATATGTTGTAAACTATTGAAATTTCAAACTTTGACTAACAGAAGTTACAGTTTGAAATATTGAAAAGGTATATGTATCTATAGCAGCAGGTTGCAAAGGTATTAGGTCTGAAAATTAGAGAATGAAACAATTGTTTCAATTGTTCCTTGTTTTCGCCCGACTTGTCAAAAACCTCTGAAAGAAGCATAAACTCTGGTTTGTTTATCCCTTTATCTTTGCAACCCAGTGTCGTGTAGACATTTAAAACTACGAATTCTGTTAGAAATAGTTTAAAATTTAAAATATCAAAGATATAGGGATTAGAAAATTTGAGTTTGTGGCAAAAACTTCTTTTCACATTTTTATCCAAACCTTGTAGAATATTATTAAATATAAGTTTCAATATCTTCTAAAAAAATAATTAGTTTTATAAAATAATTTGCAATTTTTAGAACTTACCTTAATGTTGATCATGCTTCTCTATTTAATGAAAATCAAAGTATTTAACATGTGTTTATTGTACTCATTGTACGTGTGTGTGGGTATACAAGTATACAAGAATTAAGAACTAAATCTCTCCGAGCTGTTTAGTATACCCTGAGCTAGCGGCCGGTTCTGCATTTGACAAGGTGGAATTTATCAATCCAAGAATACATCTTAAATTCAAATTTATCTTTTTTACCAGAATTTTTCTTTATCATTACAAAGTAAATCATAGATAAGAGACAAACAATCTGTTATTGTATTATGTCTTATTATTGTAATATTGTAATTATAGTAGATACATATATTTTGTATAAATTAGCTGTTTTCCTACAGGAGTTCACTAGGTTATCAGAGTTAGAATTGTTATAACTTAACATATATACAGTCTACGATCCTGCATCATGCATATTTATATCCTTAAGATATTCAAATTATGCCTTTAGTTCCATGTAAATGAATTGGACAACGTTTAAGTAACCTCCTTATTATAGATTGACAATGATACAAGGGTCTAATTCATCCCTTATCAGACAAAAGTTTAAAGAGAACTAATGTGAATCGGACCTATCACTTGAAATTACTACAGTCTCTTTAAGTTTGACACTTAATTCAACAGTCTAAATTTTCCTCCTAAAATTATCGGGCTGTTATTTTAAATAAAATATTTGTCTGATGTACAATTACCGCGTATAAAATAACCTATTCTAAATATTTCTTATACAAATGCAGTACTCGTATGCAAAGCATGTATAATCATATGGTAGGGCGGGCCGAGTCAGTTGTATCTCCCTTCTATTTCATACTCCTTGACATACCTAAAATATATACCACACGTACATATTTTAGGTTTTATTCTGATCACTATATGAAACCTGGAGACTGAAAAATGCTTGTTCTCAATTCATCCTTTATCTCAAGGTTCTCCAAGCTCGGAGCCGGATTACAGGTTAGAGTGTAAAGAAAAAGATAATTTATCGAGGAGTTGAAAATGTTAAAATTGTTTATCAAGTTGCAGCACCAAGTCCAATTTTTATTGTGGGACCAGACATGGCCCCTAGGTGTGGTTTTTGGCAGATCAGTATAAGAAAAAATAAAATAAAATTTATCTTAAAGGAGAACTTCAATTGTTTTCACTTTTTGTTTCGCGGCATCAAAATCAATAATTTTATTCATCATTCTTCATAATTCTTGTACCATGCTACAGAGTTACCTGCAAAGGATGAGACTTTAAAGTCATGTACGGGATTTTGTGTTTCCTTACATTTATGATTCCCTGCGACTGTAAAATTGTTCCTTTCTTTACGAAATCATGAAAGACCATAAAAAGACTATATTTAAGGCTGAAGACTTAACTTAACCTATGGAATAGTCATGTTTTAAGAGTTTTAGGTTTCCATGCGCAATAACGTTTTAAAAATTTCCTTTAATACTAATAACAAATATATTTTAAAGTTAAAAAACTAGTCTCTGAGAAAATGCACAGCTATAGCTACACATGAGGTAAGTTTAAGCGCAACATGATGCGCGTGCAAATTGTGTATTATTCGTCTGATCTCCATAACAACAGAAACGTTGGAAAATCGTTTCATGTCCTACTAAAATACGATTTCTGGTTGTGGCATGCAACAACAAGAATTTTAAATTTGTACAGATAAGTTAGCCAATTACAGATTAGGTTTTGCGCTATTTTTGCGCAATTGTGCATTGGAAACGCCGTCACCCCTGTATAAATTTTATTGCAGATTGTACGGCGGCTAAGTGTTGGAAAGGATTTGGATTTGACCGGAATATATCCTCCAATACCTACACCATTCAACTCAGACGAATCTATAGCATGGGATAAACTTAAGGATAATATCAAGAAGTAAGAAATTAAACCGTTCGACGTTCCAGCGTTTTATATTTATGATTATTATTATTAATCAATCAGTAAATCAATAATATTGAAAAATGAAGAGTAGGAGGGGGGGGGGGGGATCGATGGTTAAGAATTAATGCCATTTTGTGTTAAAAACAAGAAAAAGGCCTTCTGATTTATAACCTGTTTTGACATCACTTTCTATAATCTTAATTATGTTTTTTGTTTGTTTGAGGGTTCTTGGGATTTTTAAATGGTGTTAAGACAAAGAAAATTGCAATCATTCACTCTTCACAAATTCTGATTTTCTAATACCTTTATCTTGGAAACTGTTGATGGTGTAAACCTTTGATATTTGAAACTTTTAAGCCATAGTTTGAAATATGAAAAGGTCTGATACATCTAGTGATTTGAGGTCTGACGACTTTAAAAGTCACCACATAATTACTGTGAACTTTCAACATTTCGAATGTGTACTCTGGAAAAGTTGGCTATCATTAAATTTTGCAATATTTTTTCTAAGAGAAAAGAGGGAAAATAAACCAAAAACTATCGTTTTTTTTGCACATATTTTATCTCAATGCCAAAATTTGGCATAGTATAAAATAAACAATTTTAATAGTTGTTAATTTCTGAGATGTTTGTAGAAGTTTTTAGTCCAAAAAGTTTGTGATTCATCAAGTTGCAAAGTAGAAAATTAGGGTTTGAGACAAGTATTAATGGTTCCTTTTCGGGCACAATTTCGTTTATTTTCAACCCTTTGATTTAGTTCCATACACAAAGTATAGAGATGTTGATTAAACCAATATGCCTGGAACAACAGACAAAAAACATTCCCTTTTTAAGTTTTAATTCAAATTTAAATTGATTAGATGGAATGAGTTTCCATTGAGAGGATACCTGGTTCAGGGAAGCAATGGAGAATTCTGTTATCTCACAGAGGTAATCTAAACCCTGTACCTTGTGATAGGCAACACCTTGGTTTGTTTTTTAGATCTTTTACGCTTTTTTAACTTTTAAAAGGTTCCGCAAAAATTCTGAAAAGTTTTCCGAATTTCAAAAATGTTAGTTCTGAACATTTTCTTTCTTCACACTGTGCCAAAATTATTACTTTCAGAGAAAATATGTTGAAAAAAACCCGTTTTCCCCAAATATTTTCTCTTGCGATACAAATATTACATAGATTAAAATAAAACCAAACTTTTACAGAATATAGTTTTGAAATATTGGAGCATTCACAGTATTTGGGTGGTTCCTTTTAAAAGTCCAAAAACCTAGAAAAACGAACTAAGTTATTTGGCCGTCAATTGCAGCTGTACCTCACGCACTACATGCATTGTACATTCTGTGTATCTGTACATAGTACACTACAGTGAACATAATAAGCTCTTCAAAGTTTAGAAATGATTGAACGATTTGACATTCTAGACATTCACATTTATTGTTAGAAAACATTTTTCAGTTTTTAGATTTTTTTTCTGTCATTATTTGTCCAGACTAATATACTAATTGGGAGAGTAAAATATTTCTCTTCTAACTAACGTATATTCGATATATTTTTAAACCTGAGAGATAGAATTTCATGTTTCTACTCTAAACATAATTAATTCTGTAGAAATGTATCAAATGATATTTATAAAACTAGATTTTTTTTTTTCATTTAGTATTTCAGGAAGAGAGGATTGAGATGATTAAAGTGGTTAAGTCCCTATCTCCAGGTATACTGGAAACTCATAGTTATTGCTTATAACCCCAAGTTTTATTCGAAGGGCCATGGTGACGGGGAAACTTGTTTAACAGATACAGAAAATACAGATTTAAAAAATGTTGGTTCATTTATAGGATAATGTTTCACAAATTAATTATGTGAAAGTGCTACAATATATATGATCTCCTTAAAAGGCCGGTTTTCTGTTTTCTCAAGGCAATTCTAAAATTTTGTCCCTCTTAACATTACTCCTTCTAAAATCTATTCTTATAAGCTAGTTTCAACAATCCATTTTTATATTTATAATGATTTTTTTAAATCTTAAAGATGGTGAACATATAGAAAATATTTAGTTTCCTAAAATTTTTTGTTTCTAATTAGAGACAGCTTAAACGTATTTTTTCAATAAACTCTGTTGATACAGGGCATGTCTGGTTCACAACGGTACCCTTAAAAGTTTTGTCGCATCAAGTATGAATTAGATATCCAAGTTGGTTTTTTAACTTGTGGTTTCTCTGCATAAGTGACTTGCGCATTTCTTGCTTCAGAAACTTAATGGGGAAATGATCAGAATTTGAACTTTTCAAGGCAGAAAACGACGTTATCTTCCACGTTACTGATCAGATTCAGGTTTCAATCTGGTATGCCCCTCTTTAATGGATAATCATTAAAACTACGACAATAATTCCTTTAAGCAACTTTTTTATTGATATTATTAGCTTATCACATATTTGTCAATGTTTAGATAAATTGGTTTTGGCGGGGTCAGGATGCGAGTCAACAGCTGCAACTATTCGTGTTACCAACAAGATGGCGGAGGCGGGAGCAGGGAATCTATTTTCAATCAATCAATCAATCATTTCTTTAAAATCATTATCTATAACTAAAAACTATAAAGCAAAAATTAAAGAATACTAGTTTAAAAATGGATTTGTTAGTAATTTTTTTCTTACATACATTTTCAAATGCTGAAATTGGAATAATTGGAATGGACACTAAATTTATTTTATAGCCGATGCATACGAATTTTATACTGGGTTGAAGAGCTAATATTTAAATAGATTTATTTGTTAAAAATTGCCACATAAATAATAGATTTGTTGAGTAGACGCCGCTGTGGTTGTAACACCGTGCTACTACAAGGGAAAGATGACCATAGCGGCTTTAGAGGATCATTTTACCAGAGTAGCAGACGCGAGCTCACTGCCGGTCATTCTTTACAGTGTTCCAGCTAATACAAGCATAGACATTCCGGTGGAGCTTGTTAGACGATTAGGAACTTGTTATTTTAAACTTTTACGACGTTTCAGGGATTTAGAAGCATATGAAGTTTCATTCTTTTTATGGTATTTTTTTTAAATGTCTGTTTTATTCCTTAACTTGCTAAATGATTGAATTTAATTTGATTTTTGATTCAAAGAATTCTTGCAGAATGACTTTTGATTAGTAATGTCCGATGGTTAAATCAATTATTTAAACTGTAAATAAAAATAGAATTAAACAAGAAAAAGGTTATTTTTTCTCGATCATATCTCCTTAGAAAGTCAAACAACAAGATTTTTAAGCTCGCCATCCAAACATAATTGGGATAAAGGACAGTGGTGGAGATGTATCCAAGATTGGAAGCATGGTTCATGTGACCAAGGGAGAGAACTTTCAGATCCTGGCAGGTTCTGCTTCATATCTTTTATCTGCTCTTGCAGTTGGAGCTTCAGGAGGAATATGTGGTCTTGCAAACGTTTTACCAAAAGAGGTACTAAAGTTTTTTAAAAATTTACAAGGCGGCTTCTGATTTTCCAGAGGGCGGGGGGGGGGGAATAATTGAAAGATTTCGCCGAAATTTCCTCCTGGAATAAAAAATATTTTAATAAAACTAAACAAAAATTTGGATGATTAAGTGGCGCCACAAGTTTATAATCCATTGTTAAAAATCCCATTTGAGTAAATGTACACTTTACAGGTGTGTGAGCTCCAAACCCTTTTTAATGAAGCAAAAATGGAAGATGCAAAATCTTTGCAGGTAAGTGTACTAATTTTCTTTTTATTTTTCTGTAATTTTTACCGAGCAATTATTTATAGCACCGTTTGATTGCACCCAACGCAGCTGTTACTAAGGTTCATGGACCTCCAGGTAAAGCTTTTAGAAGACATTGACGTTTCAAGTTGTAACTGTAGTAAATCTATAACAAGTTTTTAAAACTAACCCAGACATCAGGTTCTTAAATAGTATAAGCGAGAAGAAGTGAGAAATGTTCGTCCCTGGAAAGCTTTTGAAATTATGCATTTTATAAATTATGAAATATACAATTGTTTTCTAATCCCAGTTGATAGGAAAGTATATTTTACAAACTTTGTTTTTAATTAGGCTTTGTTCCAGGTTTAAAAGCTAGCTTGGAATGGTTTGGATTTTACGGAGGACCGTGTAGGAGACCCCTTCAACCCCTGACAGAGTCGGAGACTAAAAATCTTGAAAATGCATTTAAAGAAAATAAGTATCTGTGATGATAATCTTGTATTTCTGAAAGTAACTGGTTATAGTATGCTCTTTAATAATAAAAATTAGGATGCAAAATGTTTATATCAAAAATTATATGTTCGAGTGTTAACAAATTACAGAGTTTATATTTCTCCCAAGCCAAATGCAACCTATATTTCTCCCAAGCCAAATGTAAAATGCAACCTATATTTCTCCCAAGCCAAATGCCAAATGCAACCTATGTTTCTCCCAAGCCAAATGCAAAATGCAACCTATATTTCTACCAAGCCAAATGCAAAATGCAACCTATTTGTCTCCCAAGCCAAATGTAACCTATATATCCCAAGCCAAATGCAAAAGGCAACCTATATTTCTCCCAAGCCATGTGAAAAATGCAATCTATATTTCTCCCAAGCCAAATGCAAAATGCAACCTATGTTTCTCCCAAGCCAAATGCAAAATGCAACCTATATTTCTGCCAAGCCAAATGCAAAATGCAACCTATTTGTCTCCCAAGCCAAATGTAACCTATATATCCCAAGCCAAATTCAAAATGCAACCTATATTTCTCCTAAGCCATGTAAAAAATGCAATCTATATTTCTCAAAAGCCATGTGAAAAATGCAACCTATATTTCTCTCAAGTCAAATGCAAAATGCAACCTATATTTCTCCCAAGTCAAATGAAAAATGCAACCTAGTCTGAGACAGTATATTTTTCTAGTTACTGCACAGGTCTTAATTGATATCTAATTATTATCTAGCATCAAAATAGAAAATGGTAATTATTGGAATCAACATATGGACTTTTTGATAGCAGAAATTTTAATCACATATTTTTCAGTCAGAGGACTTTCAAACTTTAAAGATAGATAGTCCTGAATCATGGACTGCATGATTCTATATAAGTATATTATAACTAGAAATTCAAGGCGCTTCGCGCCCTTCTTTCCAGGCTTTTAGGGCGCTTCGCGCCCATCTTCTATTTAAATTGTGAACATGTTTTTTTTGTTTATATTTCAAAACAAAGATGAAAAAAGTTTTGCGGATTTTCAAAAATTTAAATTTTTTTACAAAATTAAAAACCTCTAAAACACAAATTTTTAAAATTTCAATCATTCATAAACCTTCCCTGGGGTCCCCCGATCGGTTCAGCCGTTTTGACGTTTATTGGATACAAACAGACAGACAAACAGACAAGCCAAATTTATATATAGATGTATATAGTGTATATGTGAAGGGTGAGTAAAAACCAGGTATTATCAATGTTTTGGACAATATTTTATAAATTTTTATTTTTCTTCGTATTTTAGTCTTAAAAATAATAAAATATGAAAAAAAAGTATTTTTGAAACATTGAAAAAAGAAATCCACGAAACAAATTTGTTTAAACAATTTAATTTTTAAAAAAATCTTTATTCTATTGTTTTTTAAAATTCCTTAAAAATTCCTTAAAAATTTAATGAGATATAACAAAAATGTTAAGCCAATCATTTGCATTTTTGAAAAAATAACAATCCTAAGGTTGTGATTAGATAACATTTACTGAAGATTTCCACTCTAAATTTTTGCGAATATGTTTTTGTTACATCTCATTCAATGTTCTAAAAATATTTACTTTTTAAAATTTTTGTCCAAAACATTGATAATCCCTGTTTTTTAACTCACTCTCGAATATGGGGCCTAGGGGAATAAGATGTCAAAGGCCACAAAAAGGGGAAGTAAATATGAAAAGAAGAGGAAAGAAGATAGAAAGAAAGAGAAGGTTATGAATAGTTATGGAAACGACAAGGGAAGATAGGAAAAGAAAGAGGAAGGGAGGGAAAGTAAGGGGATGGAGGGAATAAAGAAGGGAAGGAGAGGGGAAGCAATAGGGTGATTGTTGTACAGGTGAAATATCGATTACACTCATGATCGATCAGACTAACGTACATTCGCAGTAACGTTCCTTCGGACTAACGTTCATTCGCACTAGATAGTACGAATGAACATATTTAGTAGGAATAAACAAAAAATGTTCAATTGTACTAATTGTGTGGGTAAAATCGAAGTTAATCAGTACAAATGAACAAAAAAAATGTGTAATCAAACTATTATTATTACTAATTTCACCATTTTACCCGATAATTATAATTAGTTCAAATAACCATATTTAGTGCAAATGAACAAAAAAATGTTCAATCGAACTAATTACTGATTTGACCATTTTGCTCATAATTTATAAATAGTACAAATAAACATATTTTATTGCAAATGATCAAAAAAATGATCAATCGAACTAAAATAAAAAAATTTCACCATTTTTCACATAAAACATAATTTAAGAACAAATAAACATATTTTAGTGCAAATGACCAAAAAAAAGTGTTCGAAACTAAAAGTACTAATTTTGCCCATAAATTATACGATGAACAAAAAAATGTTTATTTGCAATATATAACGTTCAATTGCACTAATATTTACAGAAAAAAAACAGTAGTCCGTTTGAACAATTGTTCTGTTGGAAATGTTTATTTGCACTATAACGTTCAACTGCACTAATAATTACAGAAAAAAATTAGTTCGTTTGAACAAATTATTTTTAGTATTCCAGATCAATTGATCATATGATTTGTAGTAAATATTGCGAGAACATAAAATGTTGGTCCAATTGAACACGGTAATAATAATATAGTTCGATTTTGTGGATTTGCACTAATGTTTAATTGTAATACAAACCGGTTTCTGATCAGCTGACATTAGTGCAAATGTACGTTAGTTTAATCGGACAATATACATAGTGCAAACGATATAGCATCGCTGTACTATACATTTACATATATCATAGCCAAACCATTCTGTAGTTTACTCATAGAGGTACATGAATTTGATAACTTTAAAAAGCAAAAATTTTAATTAATTCAGAGCTTTATCACTTTTTCAAATAAGATTTTTCCTCATTAATTTACAATTGTGAAGACAATATATATTGCTCGATGCTCAATGGTTCTTTAAAGGGGTTTTAAAGAAGTTTTTAATGTTAGTTTAGCTTAAACATATTCTTGTGATTCTATAATCTGTAAGTCTAGCATGTATCAGTACAATTTACATTTATCAAATACAGTCAATATAATTCCATATTATGATATTTTTACTTAACGACAGTTTAGTAGAGCGCTACCTTAGATTCTAGCCATTTGAATTTTTGTTTTCAGATGAAAATGCGAGTTAATCCGTCCCAATAATATTGTAACTATATAATCAAATAAATATTAAATTTCATTTCAATTAGACTAATATCTAATTTAGACCAGTGAATGTTACATTAGATAATTCTGTATATCTTTTGAATCTTTTAGAGAATTTGAGTTCTGGTGTGATGGATATTAGATTGGAAAGCAGGTAGAGATCTAGATAGATAGATAGATTTATCTAACCCTGCACACTGTACACACTACCGGAGTTTAATAACCTAAACCCAATTCTAACAGATTGATTGCACATTGAATCCAGGCTAACTCAGTCCTCATCATCATGTCGTTGGCGGAGTTAGAGGATGAGGTTCTTAATAGTTTAGAGAACTCTTGGTTTGGGTTCAATGGCTCCGAAACCGGAGGAGAGAGTACGACGGAATTGTTTGCAGACGACGAGTTTTTCCATCCCACTGTCATACATGACAGCGAAGTTTGTAAGTGGGTTCTTCACACCTCCATTCCTAATCTCAACGTGAAATTGTGGGATTTTCTCTTGTTTATCCCTAGCTCAGTTTTTCTCTCAGTCCTGATTCTAGGACTGCAGAAGACAACCCAAAGATTACGAGGTCTGAACAACTACTGCTCCGTGGGTACGCTCTACCTACTGATAGTTCTCTGTGTGAGTATCAGTATGATGAGAACTATCCTAAACACGGTTCTACAGGCTGAGACACAAAGTTCTAACTCTGAGAAAGTTCTTTGGGTTCTAACCAGGTTGATATATCTAAGTACGGAACTAAGTATTCTGGGCATTGGATTGACATTCGACTGCATAGGAAAGAAAGGAGTTCAACGGATGGTTCTCGTGTCATTTCTACTCTCCTCCTGCTTGTGTGGAATTGAACTACATCTGGAGTTAAACAAGCCATTCTATGGCAGTAAGGTGATCCGGAACGGGTTTGATCTCTACGGTCACGGTGGTCCGCAATTCTGGACTCTTCTCTCTGGATCAATTTCTCTTCTTTATCTTGTGGCACTCTGCATTCCGTTTCTACCGTTGAAATCTCTTTTCACCACTAGATCCACAGTGTTCTATGTTTACGCAGGGATTCAGCTACTTCTCAATATACTTACTGGGGTAGGGGCACTTCTTCTCTCCCTAAATCATCATTCAGGATTGTGTTTAACAGACCTGACAACCTACATCTACTATAGTTTCCTACCCACTGTTGCATATATCTGTTTTGTTCGTCCAAGTCTGAAAATGTCAAGACCCAACCTGCTTTTCTCCTACACTTCACAGGTATGGTACAGATCGATATCCTAAAATTCTACATCAACCTTATCTTCATTTGAACAAATTAAAAAAAACAGTATCTAAATGTTAATTGCGTATTTTTTACTTATTTATTAGACTATTTAGAGATGAATTTAAGGGGATGGAATATCTCCTTAGTAAACTGTACACAATTTTTATCATTATTTGACAAATATTAAAATATATTTATGACCCAATTAACCCAGTCCTGGTCAAAATTTTAAATTTACTTGCCTGTACCATCATTTTACAGATTGATGAGAACCAAGATGATTCAGCTCTCTCCTACAGTGGATCCATTCAGTCGATCCTTCGTGGAACCTCAGCAACCATCCTCGATCATTAAACCTGGGTCCCTAGACTCAACCCTCTTCTCAGCAGGGATCCAGAGCCCAGATACTGATGACAGAGATCTTCTTATTAAGTAACTCTCGGGGGATCAGAAAACTGTTTAAATTTCTAATCTTAAGAATTAATCAATAACCTCAACATAAATCTCAGGCCTATAAAACAGACAGAAAATTATCAATCTTGATTTGTAAAACTGTAAATACACGTTATTTTTCTTTATCTTTCTGAGTATTTTCATCTCAAGATTTTAGCATAGTTCATGAACAGAATTGGGGATCTATCAAAGGGTTAATTCTAATTTAAAAGATTTATATTAAAGGATTAGATTACCTAAAATTTCCTACACTCTTATAAATCCTGGGGATGGGAGATTAAAAAATATATTTTTTCAAGTCTAACTTTTACAAATATTTTACATTAACTTTGTTAAGATTTCGATTTTTTTTGTATAGGGGGGGGGAGGAATCCATATTAAAATAGTTTCTCTCAAAATTCATTGTTCTCTACATTATCCTAATTCTTTACATTCTCTTACAAGATGGTGGTTTTAAAAGGCTTTAAAACAAGGCTTATTTTTTCATTAATGATACTAAAAAACATGGCATAAGCATGTTCGCAGGTTGTTATGGTTCTGCTAAATTGACAGAAAATTGAAAATTTTTAGATATTAGATATAATTATTATTTGTTAAATATCATTTTACTTTGAAATGTTAAGATAAATCAACAATTGTTTATGTTAATAGAAAATTAAATTGTATTTGGTAGCTGAATCATGCTTCATTGTTAAAATAAATTAAATTAAATTTATATAAAAAATATCTTTAGCTCTGTTTCCTTCTTTGAAAGAAAAAGAGAAGAAAAAAAATTAGAAAAAATATTTAAAAATAATGAAATTAATAAATTTGTCATAAGTTTCTCTTAATAAAAGATTATGTATTCGTTCAAATGTATAGATTTAAACCTAAACTAATGAAATAAAAGGATAGTAAAATGTTAACATCATTTTCATTGTGCTATTCAATCCTAGACCTAGTCCTGGTCCGAAAAAGAACGCAAGTCATTTTTTTTTCAACTGGAAGTCAGCAGCCCAGGTGAGGGAGGGAAGGGCGGACGCCATGAGCCTCCGTTGGGCAGACATGAGCCTCTCATATTTGCTAGGCAGACTGAGCCTCCGCTATACAGCATAGCTTCCTTATAACTCTTGGTTTTTTACATGTTAAATGGAATTTTTTCATTTTTTTCAAGATAGTGGCACAAGAATGTTACTTAAGATTAATGTTGTTTTTTGATTGTCATAATTTGCAACTTATATAAACTCAAAGTTGTTAATAAGATTTATGTTTTTCAATAAAGCATTTCTACGGAGCAGTAAGGAGGCTATTTGGAACTTTATTTCTGAATTAAAATCAGTTTATTTTGTTTTAATCTTTAATTTAAGCAATACCTTTTTCCGAATTTTTTTTTTATTCAGATTATTTGTCAATGTCAAATTTTTTAATATCTTGATCTACTACTTAAAATAAATGATCAATACTTCTGATCTTTGATAAACTTTTTATGCCACTATTTCAAGGAAACTATTCTGTATAGCAGAGGCTTGTTTTCTGCATAGCGGAGGCTTGGTCTGCCTAGCAGATCTTGGAGGCTCGTGTCTGCATAGCAGAGGCTCATTGCGTCTGGGGGTTATGTCAGAGAAAAATTAAATAAAAAACTTATGTTCACTTTGACCTCTGGTTTGTGAGTTGCGAGCCTCCCGACAGACCTCAGAAACTTCTAACTGTGAAACTTTTCTGGTTTTCAAAGACAACGGAATAATTTTGAACTTCAATTTTTCAGAGAAAATACATCTACAGTACAATAACTTTATATAACAAATTTCTGAAAGCACGTGATTTACACCACATTTGATTCTAGAATTAGTTGACAAAATGTTACTAATAGAGACAAAATGTTATCAATAGAAATTAAGTATTTATAGGGAAGCTCGGGTGTACAATTTACGATTTGTAATGATCCTGGGGGAGGGGGAGAGACAATTGGACAAAAGAAACCAGGGTGTTGTACAATTTACGATTTTTGATGATCAGGAGGGGGGGGGGGACAAGCCAAATTTATATATAGATGTATTTAAANGAAAAAATATACACCCCTGCGGCCTGCAGGGAAGATTGAAGAATTCTACTTTACAAAGGTTCAGAGAACAAAGTCCTACGTAACATCCAAAGTGTAACTAGGGATGGTTTGCTGGTCAAATTGGTCGAAAAAACCAACGTAATTATTTTTTTTCAGACAAAATACTATTAACGATTTTATTTGAAAAGAAAATTTACTAATTATATTGAAAAAATTATATAAAGTGCTTTAACTTGCGGGGCTTACTTATTTAATTTTCATTATGAAAAATCTTTACTTTCTCCCTTAACATTTAAAATCTAGAAAGTAATTATTTTCCAGGAAAATATTTACCCAGCTGGCAGAAGAAAATAAAATAGATAAGTGACACACCTGACCTTTAATCTGTATAATAAAGATAATTAAAAATGTCAACCGTAAAAATGTCTAGTGTAAAAAAGCGATTTTTAAATGTTTTATTCATAAAAACAGTAAACCCATAATTTTCAAGAAAAACTTGAGGTTTAATAACCAATTATCAATATCAAAGGTACATTTTAGAGCAAAAGTAACTAAATAATTCAAGTATGAAAATGAAATACAATGCCTACAGTTTCTTTTTCTTATTTATCTCTGTCCTACTCAGCTCCAATGTTTTCTTGGACCTCTTAGGTTTAACCATGTACCAGTAGATCGAGTTCTTCTCCTTGTATATTCCAGAGCAAAGCTCTCCTTCCCACATAACCCGAACCGGGGCATTCAATCTTAATTTTTCCAGATCAACTTCATCAATAAACGTCACGTCCTTGGGTTCCAATGAATCGCAGAAGGATCCATCATCAAAGGCGACAGAATAAAGAACTTCCTCATCTACCTGTACGATAACCCCAGTCTTAAATCCAGGATAGTTCAGAATATTCACCTCATCACCAACAAACAAGTCCTGAACAGAAAACGTCCGTTAAAGGGAAAACATACGAGTATAAAATTTCCTTGGATTTATGTGAAGACGACAGAAACAAAAAATACACTTTCCGGATTAGAGTCTGTGAAACCAAAAATGGTTATGTATAATTAAAATCCTCCTGGTGTCCAAAATAGCACAATATCACTTAACTATGCCCGAAGATTCAGCTTTTAACAATTTTAATTTTTATCTTTGAAAAATGGATTAACATACCTGGGGCGGAAACTTTGCAACTTTATTCCCATCCTCCTTTAACTGAAATTTCTCAATGCAGAAAGAACAGCGTAAAATTACATTCTGCTCAGGACCCAGAGCACAATCAACTCCGTGCTTGTACGCACAGGACAGATGGAAGGAAAGCATGCACTCTTTGCTCGCCATACAATGAACTGCTGGTTCTTTTCCAACCTCATTGCAGATTAAACATGTCACGTTCCACCTCTTCCTGGGAACAAACCTTAGATCAACAGGAGATTCCTTGGCTATCTCAGGAATGAGAACGGCACAGCGAACATGATAAAACTGATCACAGCAATCTTTCTTAAGCGCTCCTCTCGACTCGGAACACAGGAAACACGACACAGGCTTATTTCTCTCATCAGCAATATAAATGCACCGATCACACAGCCATAGATCATCTTCATATTGGGCTTTATAACACGCTTCGTGGACGCACACCTTACAACTGGAGCAGACGATTAGTTTACTTGCAGGAAAACTGGACAAAAGTTTATCCTCGTTTAATTTTGAATCATCAGACTGAGGAACCCAAACCACAGATTGATCGGGAATTCTCTTTACCGCGGCAGCAGACACTTTTTCATTGTATGAGCTGCGTTCAAGCAGGATTTGACAAACGTTGCAGTATGGTTCAAGCAGTGACTTCTCCTGGTTTTCATTGATCTCATTCTCCAGGTCCATCAGGCCATCATCCTCTACCTGTGTGATTTTACTCTTTCTGAAGGATTGAACCTTTTTCGTGTATGGGTTTGCGTCAGCAATACGAGCAAGTTTCATGTCCACAAACAATTTCTTTTTTTCTAACTTGATTTTCTTTGGAGCTTGAACCCGAACTTCGGATTTGGGTGAATTGTCTTCAAGCTTACGTTTTGATCTCCCTTTCTTCTTTGGAATAATGTCAATTTCAGGGATTTCTTTAGAGCTCAAGTTATCATCGTCAGCCTTAAGACTTTTCTTTGTGGATTTTTTGACTGGACCTTCTATACTTTTTGGTGTGAGATGATCTGATTTGTTGTCCTCAGAATGATTAATTTCTATTGGTTTCGTAATTCCGGTTGTCTGAGTTTGTGTTAAGCTCTCGTACTCATGATTTTTGTCATAAATAATTCTTTGAACAGGTTTCAGTGGTTTTCTACGACGCTTCAACGAATTTGTAGGCTCCGAGGCTATAGGGTCAATGGTATCGATGTCACTAGGTAATTTCGATTTTGATTCTAAAGCAGAGGCAGTAGTCTTGATTTCAGAAGAGTCATGTTCATGTTTCAAATCTGAGACATCATTTGCTAGTTCTGCAACAGGATCACAAATCTCGGAGTTCTCTAGAATTGTATTTTTGTTTGGCTTTGTGACAGGAATATCAAAATTTTGCTTCAATGTTTCCTCTGCAGAGAGTTTAGGACTGGCTGGAACAGATTGTAAAGTAATGGTTGGGAAATCATCTTCGGATTTGTTTTCCTCTCCCATTTTTATAACATTCTCGACAGAAGACTGCGAGCTTAACGAAATCAAGGAGGGGATTTTCTTCAACAGAACGTTTTTTGAACTCGGAGCAGTTGTCTTTTCCTCAGGTTTAGTGCTAAAAACATTGGGAGAGCAAACTAGAGCTGATCTAGTTTGTTCCTCCAGCTCCTCTATTCTTTTCAGTAGATTTTCTAAACCAGCAGAGAGGTCTGGAACACTCTCCGGCTTCTTCAGCATCTCTGAGTTCATCACCCTTCCTAGAGCCTTAATTCCGCGCTTTTCATCTATCTGGTCATTCCAAATCTTTGTGCCTAACTTATGATTATCACGATTAGGTTTAGGGTGTATCACAGATTGGGGTTTGATAATTCCAGTAGGCTTTTTCAAGATCTTCATTTTCATAATTTTAATTTCTCTAGCTTGGGTTGTTGACAACTTCATAAGAGAAGCGCGGCGACCTTTCCCCAGATAAAAGTACCGAGAAATCTCCGGGTCTTCATCCAAGCAGAAGGTTTTCATCTTCCTGGTTTCAGTTGGACTGGGACGGAAAGTATATATTGGGGTATCATCAAGTTTACTCCATCCAGCAGCTGGCTTGGGTTGATTCTTACAAATTTGAAGAATATCCTTCAAAGGAATTATATTACTCGGCATGGATTTGTTAGGAATTGCAATATTTTTTTCTATATGATGGTTCAAGCCAATATGCCGGAACAGGGACTTGTTGGTTTTGAATTTCTCCAAACAGTATGGACAGGAAACAAGAGAAATCTAAATAAAATTTACTAGAAATAATCACATCAAAATAAACTCTGATTTAAAATTTCAGAATATTTCTCAAAATAAATTTACATCGAACAAGAAGTTAAAATACACAATGAAAAAAAGACAGACGAGCCAATTTATCTTTTTTATATTTTTACCAGTTCATTTAATTTTCCAGATAAAATATCTACTTCAGCATTATTTTTGTCTCGTGAGAAAAAAAATTTATTTTGAGGAAGAGGGGTTGGCGTAGGTAAATGTGTACCCAGTGCCCAATGTATTTTATTAAAAGCACTGCACATAGTCTAATTAACTTGCAATCACAACTTTATCTATTCTTCAGAAAAGGGGATGGTGGAGTTGGCATGTTTAAAATGAAAATGTTTTAACTATGGCTTTAGGCATATCAATTAAAAGTTAGGAACCCCAGGAATACAGTAGCAGGAATAAAGTAGCAGCAACGAATCCAGTGTTTGACCTTCTAATGACCTCTAATGACCTAAATGACCTCCAAAAATGAGAATTTTTTAACTATGGCTTTATGCATATCAAAAGAAAGCTAGGAACCCAGGGAATACAGTAGCAGCAACACATTTAGTGTTTGACCTCCTAATTACCTCTTACGACCTCTAATGACCTAAATGACCTCCAAATTGAAATATAGCCATTGTACAAACATTTTCATTTTGGGGTCATTTTATGACATTATAGGTCATTAGAACGTCAAACACTGGATTCATTGCTGCTACTGTATTCCCTGGGTTCCTAGTTTTCGTTTGATATGCATAAAGCCATAGTTAAAACATTTTCATTTTTGGAGGTCATTTAGGTCATCAGAAGGTCTAAAAAAATTCAATTAAAATTCAATTTTATTTTATTTTAGTAATTTCGATCACTAATTAGGCGTGCAGCCAAAAAATTGCAAGATTTGAACCAAAAATGAAGGCAGGGTCCCCACCCCCTACATGAAACATGGAATCTCCACCATCCCCTTTAGAAAAAAAACATTTTTAATAATGAATGTAAAAATAGTATATGACATGTTTAAACTGATAACCTCGGTATAAACTGTTAAAGCTATAAAATGGAAAATTATAAAGGTTCAAAGTTCAAACTACATGTATGACATATGAATTAGAATTTTTATAAACAAACAAAAAATGTTGAAAAAAAACATTTAAAAAACGTAGGTACTTTTAATCGTTTCCAAGTCTAAGCCTTACTTATATGTTTTTCCGTTTTGAAATGCTGAAAGTAGGATATCTAAATTCTAGTTCAGAAGCGAAAACGATGCGGAATATCGTGGGAAAAAATTTAATTATGCAAAATTTCGCATCGTTTAAGAAAAATCCTAAATTTTCGCGAGACAACTTTTCCATTTCGCTGGAAACCCTAGGCGGGGCACTACCCCCCCTCCCCCTCCCCCTGTGTATACGCCCATGTCGACTCTGGTAAAAAACGTGACCAAGAGTTAAAAAAATGTTACCTTTCGTTTAGTCAAGTTTATATGGCCTTGAATATGTTTTATGAGTTCGTACTTCTCCTCAAAAATTTGGTGACAAACGTTACAAATGTGATTTTCCTCCAGATGCTGTTCCATGGAATTTGTAGTCTGGCATCTAAATATGAAAATGTTGAGCAAACTTATTTTAACATAGTTGTTTCTCTTTGCATGAACATTGGACAACCATAAAGATAATACATTAATTAATACACACGTGCATTTTCATCTGCTGCGAAGACAAAATCTCAGAACAAGAAGAATATTTAATCCCCCATTTTTTTGGTCTTTAGTCTATGATTTAAATTCCATATTTCCTTTATATGAAGATCCGAAGATTTTGTATGTTCCTACAGCCAAAAAGATCTTTCTTACATTCAGATCTTGTTTGAAAAGAATGTAAAAAATGCTTGAAAAATGCGTGAGTTAAAAGAAACTGAAAAGGGGAAAATATTTCTTATATTTCTCATAATATTTCTTCAAAGTACCAAACAAAAATTGAAGTATTATGTGTTATACTAAGGGGAAAATATTTCTTATATTTCTCATAATATTTCTTCAAAGTACCAAACAAAAATTGAAGAATTATGTGTTATACTAAGGGGGGATAATAAATTTTTGTATCATATTCTAGTGTGCAACCTGACCTAACTAAAGTAAAAACGTAATCGGTGACATTTTATTTTACGGTTTACCTGTAGTTACAGTATATACAGTCAAGCGACCTTTCAGGTTCCTGCTTGATACTGGGCCTAAAATTTGATAAGAAATTTTTAAATAAAGAAGTGACAAAAATCAAACAACCGAGTACATATTCTAGTATTTCCCCCCTCTTTTTTAAAATATATTATCCTGTTAAAAAAATCAACGGGGATAATATTATAAGGGTTTGGGGTGGCAGCTTGGGTCGGGGTTTCCGATGAATTTATTGTTTCAGTTTTGTTTTGATTTCAGTTAAAAAAATTATTGATGTTCAAAGTGCCAAAAGTTTGTAAATGTTTTCTTTAGTTGAGATTTGATTTTACCAATTAATGATAATTAAGATAGTTTTCCCCAAGATTCTATGAAGAATAATATCCCCAAGAAATTAGGGGGGGGGGGTGTTAGAGGGTAATTATATCTGATAACCCCCCCCCCCCCACTTGTCTAAACCCCTGATTTGAGAGAAGTATCTTTTTAGTGTTTCCCCCAATATTACAATCTTAGAATTAAATGCACATTTACTTATGTTATTTTTTTAATGTTTTTTTTCAGGGAATGAACTGACATCCCATTTCCTTCCTAAAAAACCCATTTATTCTTTCTCTTCTTAGTGGAGATGGCTGCTATCCAAAACATTGAATTAATAATATAATAGACCATTTTAATTAGATTCTTGTGAAAATATATGTATATTATAATATTAAAATGCACTCTTCCAATCTTTTAACGAAAATTATATAAATGGATTCTGATCTTGCCTTGATAAGATTTTAAAAGAACATATAAATTACATTCATGGGTGTATTCAGAAATTTGTCCAGGGTGGGGCTTCAATTTATCTTTCCAGGGGGGAAAGCCTTCATAGCCTCTCCTGAATATACGCGCTTCTTTTATTGGAATTTAAATAAAATGTCAATATTAATAATAATTTAAAGATCCTTAAGAATCAGCAATGGCAGATGAAAATTATGATGTTGATACAATGAAAATTAAAATCATACGTGTTGAAGACATAAATTTTCTTGTAAAAGTATAGATAATTTTTAGTAGAAATCGGGATTTGTAACTTAAAGGCCAGCTATTTTTTATTTTATTAAAAATCAACAACTTACTCATCAGAGAGAGTGGCTGCTAAACTCTCAACACTTGCAATTTCAAGCACACTCTCTTCATTGTTCGAAATTAGATCGTTCATAGATTTATTAGATTCCACAGGTTCCATGATTTTAGTAGAATTCTCCCTGAGAACACTAATTTCAGGCATGTTTCATTTTGATACAATCACGAGCTGAGTTCCGACAGTGCACGCGTTTAAGAGTAGCGAGAATAATCTACGCGGCATGTAATTGATATTTGAGCGTGGGGCAGTTTTCCATTGGAATTCAGTTTAGTCTTGCAGTACCGTGTGCCACGCATTTCTTTTAACAGCTGTTTATACAGATTAAAATCCAAGTAGACTTCTGAGTTTGAGGTTAAGTGCCTGCTTTGTTATTGGGAATACCAGTTTCTGTTTAAAGGGAATTTTTAAATATTTCTATATTGATAAAACTTTGATATTATTAAGTCTAATTTCATATAGAAAGACGTCATGTCATCTTAAGTTGGTCGTAACAATATACAGGGTTTACCCTCAAAGGCTGAGACTTTAAAGACGACCCAAAAGTCTGAAAAAATGACGATTTGAAGCTTGATTTTTTACTTCTGCATTCAATTGAGTATTTTTATAGTTTACTAAATGAAAAACACAGAAATAAGTCAGTTTTGGCCTACAAGGAACCTTAAATGCAAGAAAACAAATTGAACAAATTATGTACAATTGTCCATGAAGTCTCATCCTTTATGGGTACAGTGAGGGGGGGGGGGAGTGCAAAAGTCCTCAATTAGTAATCACCACCCCCCAAACATTACTTCATGCGCGCTCCTCAATTGGTAATTTCTGCACCACCTCAATTTGTAATCAGATATGAAAATTTTAACATTAAATTCTTTATTTCTTAGAAATAAGACTACATTGACCTCTGTTAATTGCCCCATATAGTGTACAATATTCTTGAAGCTTTCTTTATTGCTCCTCAGTTTCGAAAATAAACATGGAGCGCTAGAAATAAAATTACGTTTTATAACCTTTGTGCATGTGTGCACTTCAATTAGCAATAAAATGCTTGATAATTAGTGAACTTGTATTCATTTTCACTACTGGGTTGGATGAGAATGATTTTTCTATTTTTTTTGTTTTTTCTATGCATGTTATTCGTTTTGTTGTAGATGTTGAACTCAAGTAGGCGAATGAACAAATCTAAACACTGTAAAGGTTTTTTGAAAATACTGTGGCGGAGCTAAAGACGACCTTTGTCTGGCCCTAACCTAGCTTCAACGTAACCGGATATTATAATATGTGATACTGCATCCAGTCCCAAGTGTTTATTGATATATATTTCTCTTAATAAATGAGTTAGTACTTTTGATTGACGTCTAGCCTTATTGGTGACCCCTAGTTCGTGAAACACGTCCTATTTCCGTCGTCCTGTCAGCTGAAATTGCACCTGGCTCACTGTTTTCTTCACAGCCTCTGCATAGTAGGCGGAGGGTGAGGCGGAGAACTGAACCTGACCCAAGGCAGAGCTGCATGGGGCGGAGACAAATCCAGAGGAGCTTGCCGAGGACGTCCTCGGCAGTTAGGAAGCGGAAGCACAGAATATATCCATAGACAGGCTCAAACCAGTGTTCTCTACCAATGCTACAGTTTCTCAAGTTCCTCCAGCTCTGGAAATTCAATTTTTTAAAGTCCTGGTTTGCAATAATTCTCCCATGCCGCCTGAGGCTTATTTTGAGTATTTATCAAATCCAGAAAGTGGATTTTATTGCCAGAACTATACGTTCTTTAAAGGAAGCTTATTCCTTATGGATACCAACTCATCCAACCTAGAGCGAACTTACCGAAAACACGTTTTAATTCATTTTCTTCAAACCTTGGATCCTAAACACAGGTGTTTATTCGAATATGAAATATTTTAACAGAAAGAGAATTTATATAACGCTATTTTGTTTTGAAAATTGTAGTGTTAGACGATATACCTTGATCAGAATGCTTTTATAAGCTTGGAGAATACTCTTCCACAGTTCCGGGTTCCCATCATGATCCATTAACATTGAAACCAGGTTCCATTGTTCCAGGATCCCTAAGGATCAATGCTAATCCAAGTTATCATTTTGATCCATAAACGTGATGAAACCATGTTCCAGGATCTATGATCCATAAAGTATCAATACTAATCCTAGTTAAAGTTTTCAGACCTAAAATCGTAATAGATCTTAAAATAGGTTTGGTTAGGTGTGTAGGTGGAGTTGGTTGGGAACAGACGTTGCAATGGAAGCTCTTTTACTAATTCCGTAAAACCGAGCGAAGCATTGCAAATCAGTGTATTTAGAGTCCAAAACATTTTTGGTCCCTGGATCAACCAAAGCCTATTAAACAAACAAAAAATGCGCTGAAAACACAAATCTCAATTGTTTCAGCATACACATTAGCCAAAAAGAAAAATAAAAGTTTTAATTTGTTCAAAAAATCTGTGAATCTAAAGGAAATGTTCATGATGTTCTTAATCCAGATCATGCATATATATTTTTTTTGAGGCGGATCTACTTAAAAATTAAATGGATCCTAAGCACTGTTAAGAACTCTTTTTTTTTTCTTGAAAACTGCTCGAATATTATGTTTTCAACGGATCCCTTCATGTCTATGTGAATTATTTTCATCGCTCTTCTGATATAAGAGTTATATAATATCTTGGACCTTATAGCTAAGTGATATCATGAGGAGTTTCAAAATATGTAAAACTCAAAACCCTTCATAATAAATTCGGCTGACCGAGTTTCTTATGGTAAAATAGTTAAAAATGGTAGGTCTGGTTAGGTATATTTGCAACAATTTTCATTTCTTATATCCCAATAATATTGTAATATAAAAAGTTTCAATTTATTTAACTCCTTAGAAATCATAATTTCTGTTTAAATATAGTTCATCTTTACTACTGCATAGTTGGATGAAAGGAAACTTTTACAGAAAATAGTTCAGGAATATACTTAACCCAATTTTATGAGGACTTTAAAAGTCCAAAAACCTTAAAGTTTGAACTAAATAATTAATTATTGGTCGTTTAAGTATGAATATTTATTTATTTATATAAAAAATTGGTTTCTGACATGCAAAAATGGTACCAGTACAAACGTCGGACCCACAAACGTCGGACGGTACAAACATAAGACTTACAAACGTCGGACAGTACAAACGTCGGACATATAGGGATTAAACTGTATGATCTTGTAGAATTCATAGTTTGAAATTGTTTAATACAATGGTCCATTCAAAATCTACCAAGTCCGACGTTTTTTCTTATAAATGTACCCGTCCGACGTTTGTACTGGTCCGACGTTTGTACTAGTCCGACGTTTGTACTGGTCCGACGTTTGTACTGGTCCAACGTTTGTGCGTCCGACGTTTGTACTGTCCGACGTTTGTGCTGGTACCGCAAAAATTGGCATTGAATCCCACAAAACTAGAAGCTTATTTAGGCAGAGACCAAATTTAATGAATTTGAGCTACAATGCTGAACTACCTAATGCCGGTTCAAATTTAAACCACCGCTTATAGAAGGAATTAAATTGGTGAATCAAATTAATCGAATTCGGTCCCGTCCAAGTTCTTTACAAAGGTATGTGATTTACTCTCAAACACTAAAATCAAATTTAAACCCCCCGCAGGATTTAATGGTTATCCTTAATCTTTGAATCCCTTTTTAAGGGTAAATGTTAATTCTAATTTTTCTGAGAGTAAAAACAGCCTATACATGAGAAAAATTTAACAAAATTTAATTAAAAGTTGATTCATAATTTTAATCATAGCTTTTAAATCCAAATTAATAGGCCTGGAAGCATTTCGAGTTTAAATATTATACATGAAATCAGATCCAGAACAACGTGCCTGTAAGCAAATGTTACAGATTAAAAAAATCAAAATTTTTTATATTTTTACTCAAACCGTGAACTTTAACTATCTTCTGCAAACGCAGCACAAAATTAATCAACATTACGAGTAACATAATTATTAAAACATAAGACTAAAATATGGAGGAAAAATATCGAAATTTTACTATTTATTTGATATAACTATTTTCTAGTGGTGTAAAGGTCTTTGTCTTCCTCCTTACTCTGGCCTGAAACAATTTATTTTTATTATCCATCACAAAAAGAAAAACTTGCAGCAATTACCTGAAAACTCATGAATAGAATGTTGACTTAAAAACTCAACTTTAAATATTTAAATGAGCATGAGACACAGCAACTGTGAAGTGTAAACAGACGCATTTTACTTCAAGTTATTTAATATTTTACTGGAAAAGCTATTTTCTTTATATCAACATCGAATGCACTTCAGTATTGCTTTAATGTCGTCTTTCTATTCTCTGTCGTATTCTGGTTATCACTTTAAAATCAAGGGTATTCCTTTTTAAAAATAGTTATTTAAACCAAAATTTGAATAATTTACCTCTCGTTATCTTTCATATTCTCAATTCAGCGATAAAAATNCCCCCCCGAAGAAAGGAGCCACAAATATTGGGTTTAAATATGATGTTGAGAGGAGGGGGAATATTTTTTTAAAAAGTCACCCTGGTTGGAATGTTTATATTCTGTACCTGGATCCCCAGCTACTACAACACTACTAGTATCCTGTCCTCCCTAGATTCCAACAATAAACATCAAATTTGTATAAGTAAATTGACCCCAATCAAGTGTAAAATGGAACCTAAATGATGGAAGAAAAATCCTTCCCCATCATGTTTAAAGTTATTAAAAACATAAATTGTGAGAAAAACTTTAAATAGAAAGCTCTCTGAATATGTTAAATGATGACTGATAAGGGTATAGATTAAAAGTTAAGTGTAATGAATTTAGACAAAGGTCAAAATTTATGAATGACCGAAAAGTCATTCATAAACTAGGTACGGCTGGTTAAACCGCTTCTTTTTTCAGGTAAATATCTTTTAAATTTTAAATTGGCATATTTACAGAACTCACATTGGTTCTCACTTTAGTGTGGTGATTCCAAGAAATGAATAAATTATACTTATGAAGAAATATTAGAATTATTTTTTGATGATTGGTTTTGTTCCTCGAATATAATATGATCTTTTCTACTCTTCTCCGCCTAAACAAGAGAGATATATTGTAAAACTAAGGGTAAATCGTTTCAACATGCAAAGAAGAAAACAGAACTGAAAGACAGGCAAACTAATTGTTGGATCAAGGGTGGCAAATATATGGAGAATAGTTGGTGCCGTTTATCGTTTAGGTTCGTTTTCAAAAACTTTAAATAAAACATTTCAAAACTGTTTTCTGTTAAAAATAATGTAAATTGTTAATCAGATCAGAAATTAGGATAAAGAAGTTATGAAAACATTTCAGTTAAGAAATATTGCTTAAGCTGAAAGAAAGAAAGAGTCCAAATAAAACTTAAAGTGAAAGGTAAATCCATTTTGTTTGGTTTTCGATATTCAATATTCAACATATCCAAAAAAAAGAGAAAACTTCTCTTCAAGAAGATTATAAATGTTTGTTAAATGACTGGAAAGTTTGCGCTCATGCACATGAACATGCATACGGATATGAAAGAGAACAATACATCTTACCATAATTAAGATTTCAATTTTAATCCTTAAAGCGAAGATACTTAGTAATAAAGCAAAAATGTACAGCTGATAGACCCACCTCCATGCTTGAACTGTTCAAGCCGGAACTAGCAGTTGGTATAATTTTTTCCCGCATTTCAGTTACATAGCGAAATACGATTCTTGAAAACCGTGAGATAGAACTAGCAATCAAGTTAGCCTCTGCATTCTCATTCGATGGTTCAACTAAAAACATTTATTTTCAGGAAACCTGTTCCGATCTACTCAAATTCAATTAAAAACTATTTTAGTAATTTTACCGCCATTGACGAAGTTGTATGCAATCATCGCCTTCTTCCTGATCTCTGCGTAAGCGTCCGCGGAGATTTCCTTCGCTTCCTCTGGATAGCATACAGCAGCTCCAGCCCCTGCTCCGAAAGTGGTGTAGAGGAGACGCTTAAACATACGACCCCTTGAATAAAAAAGAGGATTGTGGCAGTCAGTAATTTCATTACCAGAAAAAGCTTGTGAAAAATGTTAACGAATCATACAGGGTTACCCACAAAAGATGAGACTTCAGAGACGACTGTACGGAATTTATTTACTTTGTTTATGGTACCCTGGAGTTTCACACATGTTCCCAACTATGCCAGATCATTAAAACTTGATTGAGAACAAAAGTCAACCTTTAGATCGTACTATTTAATGAGTTTTAAACCATCATTAAAGTCTTATCCTTTGTGGGTAACCCTGTAGCTGAGGAAGATTCATAAATATTCAAGTAATCTAATAGATAGTGAAGAGTGTAACAGATCGATAGAATTTTTAAGTTTATAATTTATATCCCGTTTTTGCTTATGACGTTTTTAAGTAGGTGTGCATTGATAGTTATTCATTTCCAATAAGGTTATTGACAACCAATTGTTAAAATGTTTGATTTGACAAGTGACCAGTATACACCCCCCGGCCTTTACCTGAGGGAACCGACCAGAAGACCCAAGAGACCACCTCCAGCTATAACTCCAATACGAGCAGGAAGGTTTTCTTCATCAAGAAGCTGATTGTAAGCACCTGGTATATAAAATAATCTTATCTAGTGAGTAAAATAAAAATTTAACTTAATGTTAACTTTAACTTGCCTCTAATTGATTCCTCATCCAAGTAAGCTGCATGAAAAGCGAAATATAAATAAAAACATCGGAGCCCCGCCCCCCCCATGACCCTGTGTCGTTTGACCCTGGGTCGTTTGACCCTTTGTCGGTGATTGAATGAAAGGGAATTGTTAGCTTAACATGATACCAAATATTAACTGGATAAATGTGGTTACCTTGGCTGTGTGCTTTTCCAGTTTCTATGACATGATTTATTTGAGCTCCGACCTAAATTAAAAAAGGGACTTTGATTATCATTTTCTCAACTTATTTTTCATTTTCTCAACTTCTTTTTAACAAAAAAAAATCTAAACCTCAAAAATAAAACTAAACCTGGTTAAAATACTAATAATATTAATAAAAAAGAATAGGCCCATTCAATTTGTTAAGCGTATTTTGTGTATAATAAAAATAATAAATAATGAATAAACTCCTCTCCGAAGGAAATTGATTTCGCCAAATTCACAAAGAAAAAAAGTTGGGATAAGCCTTTACAGGATATAGGCCTGTAGTTCTTAACTACAGGATGTAACAAATCAGGCTAGATTCATTTCAGAGCTTGGTTCGTTTTTGGTTATTTTTCCAGGTTTTTGTATTTTTAAAAGGCCGCACACCAATACTAAGAACTTCCAACATTTCAAAATTTGCATATATTTTCTCTCAGAGACAAAACTTGCCGTGTTAGAAAAGCAAATGTTTAGAATTAACAATTTTAAAATTTGTAAAAATTAGTGGCACCTCTTAAAAGTAAAAAAAAAAACGTCAACAGTTTTCAATAACGAAACAAACTATGTCTCATCACTATGGAAAAGAAAAAAAGGGTATCTTTAAAAATTTATTTTTGGTTTGAGTTCTCATCTGGATCCGGAATCTGAATCCAGATCCGAGATGTTTCGGGATTAATCCAGATTCTGGATCCACATCAACATAAAAACGTATCCATAGAATATATATGTTCCTAGAACTAACCTCAGAAACCTGATCTGTTACGAGATTCAGGGATTCCCGCGCCACCTTTATATTCTGCTCAAGAACTCCAGGTTCAGAGGATACCAACACAAACCTAAATAAATAATAAAAAATCATTAGAATCAAAAAATGGTAGCTTTTTAAAGCCATTTAATTTTTTTAGTAAAATTTGCTTTGAAGACAAAAAAACCATTTGTAATTTGAAATAATCGAAAAAAAATTCTTACTTGGGTTCCTCTTCTTCATCGTAAACTGGGAGCTGGGAGGGTTTAACCAATCTTCGTTCCTCAGCCTGCACACTAAACCTTCTCACTGCACAACAACATATAACAAAATAATATACAATCGTGTGACACACGAAGAAGTGTAAGTAATAAAATGAAAAGAAAGGTGCATAGGTTCTCTGGGTGATGTCAACCCTAAGTATTGAAATGCAAAAACGTGGTTGAAGTAGTTTCAGGAAAAATCTTGATTTTTTGTTAAGGAAAGGGGAGCAATTCGACACAAAGCGACCCCAAATTTTGTACACATTGCATTTGGTTCTAAAAATTGCGATAAAATTTTGGGATCGGAGGTAATTCACCATCATCAAATATCAAGATTTGGCCGAAAAACCGTAAACAACTTCCACCTGAAGCAATGCTCCGATCAACCTAAAATTTTCACAAAATGCTCCTATTGTGCCACATCATCCATAGGAGGGAGGGGGTGGGAGGCCTTCCGCAAACGTAAAGCCTCCATCCCGCAATTTACTCGCAGAGTTTCGGCAACGCGCTCACCCGTACTCAGTAGTGCTTTCTTGCCGCACCTCTATAGCCTCCGTCAAAATGTCTTAGCTGTTAAATGCTTATTAGAGAAATGTAGCATTAGTTCAAAATTTAAAGACATCATAATGCATCTATTATAACCTAAACATATTGATCATATTTTTTTGGTAATAAATGTAAACATTCTCGCTCACTGGGGCAGTAAAGAACTGATCTAAACATGTTTTTGAAGGTGAGGAGAAAATCCATCTTTACTAAAAATAACGCAGTTTTGCGTGCGATTCGGTTTTAAATTATCAAAATCAGATAGATAGATAGGTTTTGGTTGTTTTTAACCGGATTTGCCCCCAAACTTTTTTTTTTTGTTAAAAATTGAATTTCTCTCTTCCTTCAAAAACGTTTTTAATACAGATCAACGTAAGCAGGCAATGGCATGTACAAAATATTCAATTTTAGCAGAAAATATATAGTAGTGCGGCTAGGAAGCGCTACGGGTGAGCGCGTTGCCGCAACTCTATGTTTGTGAGTAAAATTGCGGGATGGAGGCTACTAGGGGGCGGCTTGCCTCCCCCTCCACCCCTCCCAGTAAAACCTATGCACCCAAAAAAATAATTTAAAACCCCATTCGAGAATCACCCTTACATACAATTACAATGATGAATTTAATTTTTTTAAACATTTTAACATTTTCTATTTGTCGCAAACATTCCTAGAGAATTCATTTTATCTGAAAATATTATTATTGTAAATTTAACTAAAGGGGTACGTTTTAAGTTTAGTATACATAACTTTGGTGAATGTAATACGAGGGAAACAAAAACTACGAGGCAGAAGAAAATAAATTAAACACATTGATTGATTTCTTTACATGTCAATGCCAGCAAATGAAAAATAAGAATTAGATTGCACTTAGTTTAGGTTACAATGGAATCTTAATTTTATCCAATGCTAACAATTTAATTGTTCTTTTTATGATATTAATTCATTTTTGAAATTTGCTTCTAAACTTTGTTTGAGTTGCAAATAAACAGATTGTTATAACAATAAAGATTCATGTACATAAGTAAATTTAACACTGCAAGTATACATAGTACACTGTAGTGAAATAACCGGGTTTATGTAACAAAATAATATTTACTAAATGGAAGATGGAAAATTAGAAACCACAGTCCAGATAGAACAAGGTGGTCTAAAATCAAAGCCAGATAGAATAGAGTGGTCCAGGTTCAGGTTCAGGATAGAATAAAGGGATCCAGGTTCAGGATAGAATAGAGTGGTCCAGGTTCAGGTTCAGGATAGAATAAAGGGATCCAGGTTCAGGATAGAATAGAGTGGTCCAGGTTCAGGTTCAGGATAAAATAAAGGGATCCAGGTTCAGGATAGAATAGAGTGGTCCAGGATCAGGTTCAATATAGAATAAAGTGGTCCAGGTTCAGATTTAGGATAGAATAAAGTGGTTCAGGTTCAGGTTCAGATTAGAATAAACTGATTCAGTTCCAGGTCCACGATAGGATGAAGTAGTCTAGGTTCAGGTTCAGGATAGAATAAAGTGGTCCAGGTTCAGGTTTAGGATAGAATAAAGTGGTCCCGGTACAGGTGTAGGATAGAATAAGATGATTAAGTCGAGGACAGAGACGAGCATTACACCGTAACTGAGAACAAAGCTTTTCCCTGGAGTTCTTCAAGGGTTTTGATGAAGTTCTCTAACCCAAACAGAAACCCCTTATCAGGGCCCTAAAACATATTGTTTTAAAAGGAGCATTTTTATTAATAATGGCAGATGACGATTATAAAAGAAACTAATCAACTGTTGTAAATAAAGCAATATACTCATCAATTAACCCCTTTATATGAAAAGGGCTTGATTTTGTGAAGTTTTAAAAAGTTGCAATTACCTGTCATTCTAAAAAAATTCTATTTGTATAAAAGATATTTTATTAACGTTTAAATTTAATCAGTCTGAGCGCAAACTTTTTATTGCATTCTATTATTTTTGTAAAATTTAAAAAAATGGAAGAACTTTCTTAAAATTTTAAGAATAAAGTTATCTTGTTCAATCATGGATTTATGTTTTAATTGGTTACACTTTTTACACTTTTAAGTTGTAGGACAAATTAAAAGTGGATGGATCCATTCTTTCCAAGCAAAAAATTTAAATTAATTAAGAGTAATATTGAATGAAATTTATTTTTTGAAGGAGTGGTTTTTCAATTTTTATTATTTACCCCTATATTAATTTATCTACCTCGTGTACAGTAGAATCCCTGAGACCTCGGTGGGTTGAATGAGCAAAGTCTATTAGCTTGACATCCACGTGGTTACTAAGATTGATGTTAATAGGTTGACTTCCGCCAACCCATCGTCCGCCGCTCCAGCCTCCGCCTCCCCATCTGCCCTCAGGAGAACTACTCAAGCTAGAGACATTATCAAAAGACAGAGATTTCTTCCTCGACCTGATAAAGTAACGCCGATTTAATCTTTTCTGTCATCATTCAAACTAAAATTTTATAAAACTTATTTTATTAAATAGATTACAGTGTTAACCACATTGAAACGGCTGTGCGAGATTTGTTGATTCTTATTGCTTACATTGGCTCCCCAAAGCTTTACACGTCTTTTTTACTTACCACATCACAATAAATTTAAGACTTTATACTGAACAATAAACATACCTTTAGATTTTAATTAAAGTGGCATTCTTTGTGGGTTAGGTAACCACAAGGATATAATGCAAGGAAAGTTATTTCAGAGGTGTACGCATCTTTTGTACTGCGGTGTACTGTCTCTGGGCGGTAATGTAAACACAAGACGGATGTCACAGCCTGACATGAGATCCATCTTCCAAATAAAAATCAATGAAATATTCTGGTTATTGGAAACTATTATGTGAATTATCAAATTTTCAAAATTCCATGCTTTTAACCTCCTCGGATACTAAACGAACACTGATGCATCTATTCTTGTTTACAAATTCCACCCAGAGAGAACTGGTTTCAATTTGTACGCGGTGTATACGCAACTGCAATTAACTTTCCTTGCATTATAACCCTTAGATAAAATCAAAGATAATATATTTGGCCTACCCTAGCCCTGAGGAGGGTCTGATGGTCGAGTAATGATAACACAGACTGAGATCGTCATAGGACATTGATTTACCAGCAGGGTTTCCGGTCAGACCGGCTCCACATCTACCTGGTTATATTTAATTTACTAAGAATAAAACAAGGTTCAGGATTCAAAAATGAGTAGCGAAACTCAAGGTCTAGAGAGGGGGTTAATTTTCATTAAAAATCTAATTCCTTCCTGCCTCCGACGGCACATCTCCCTTTTGTCCCTATGCTATTTGCTTAGTCCATATTTTACAAAGTACAATGTAAAATTATGAACTGTAAGGTATACCTGAGAGCTGGAGAAGACTGCCAGTACTCAGACTATTCCTAGTTTGTGGTTCAACATCCTCACAACATCTACAATATTAAATAACATTGAAAATTACAACAGTACAGAACAACAACAGTACAGAACAACAACTAAATATTTAATTCGTATTACAATCAACATTCTAAGGATTTAGTGATCTGGTGTTTTAATGATCTAATTTGATTTAGTAATCTATTGATTTAGTGATCTATTGATTTAGTGATCTATTGATTTAGTGATCTATTGATTTAGTAATATAGTGATTTAGTGATCTTTTGATACGTGTTTCATTGAATTAACTTTATAATAATAATCTCTGACATGGGAAAATGTCTATAATATATCAACCTGACATGGGAAACTGTCTATATTTTATCTTACTGACATGGGAACCTGTCTGCATTATATCTACCTGACATGGAAACCTGTCTGTATTATATCTATCTGACATGGACACCTGTCTGTATTATATCTACCTGACACGAACCTGTCTGTATTACATATACTTGACAAGGAAACCTGTCTGCATTATATCTACCTGACAAGGGAACCTGTCTGCATTATATCTGCCGGACATAAAAACCTGTCTGTATTATATCTACCTGACATGGGAACCTGTCTATATTTTATCTTACTGACAAGGAAACCTGTCTGTATTATATCTACCGGACATAAGAAACTGTCTGTATAATATCTACCTGACATGGAAACCTGTCATGTGTTATTTCTACCTGACATTTGAACCTGTCTGTATTCTATCTACCTGACATGGAAACCTGTCTGCATTATATCTATCTGACAAGGCAACCTGCCTGTGTTATTTCTACCTGACATTTGAACCTGTCTGTATTATATCTACCTGACATGGGAACCTGTCTGATTAATGCTCCCATCGTAAGTGACTAGAATAGAGCTTGTGTAGAACCTGAAGGTTTCTAATCTCTCCAAAACTTCTTTCAATTCACTAAGTTTCCTAGAAGAAAAGGCGAACTAAGGAAAAAATACAAGAAGGGAAGACGATCATTTAAATTTATCGTAATGTTTCTAATTTTCCTTACTTGTTCCCCCCCCCCCCCCAAATACTGAAAATATTTAAGACCAGATATTTTTTACCTAATAAGAGTTTGAATAACATCCATCCGCATGACTAGACCGTTACAAAAGAACTGCCTAAAACCAGTTTTATGGAAAATCTACGAAATGCAAACCAAGTAATGCGCTAGATAATATATGGGGGGGGGGGGGTGTGAAATACAAGGTTTCTATGAAAAGCTTTTTAATTTAAATAAGGTAGACTTATTTGAAAAATAATTTTTTTTTGTAGGAAAGGGCCTGGCTGAAAGCGTAATTTCTTGTGAGTCTCCATTCAAATATGGCAATGCCCAATTTACAACGTTAACCTTGAAACCTTAATCTGATCAAAAGTCCCTGTTCCAGAGAAACCGCAAATGAAAACTAACAGTTAAAAGAAAAAAAACCTGGATATCTAATTTATACTTTATCAGGCAAAGCCTTTGAAGGTACTGTTGTAAAGCAGGCATTCCCATCTTTTCAAGAGGGTCACTTGAAATATAGTCCCTTTAAAAGAGTAAAATTTTCACAAGTACTCCATGAAATTTCCTTAATGACATCTTGAGTCCATCGACAGTTAAGCCTCTTCCATAGTTCTTGGTACGACAGAGGAATCGACCAAGGTTCGCTTGATAAACCTTAAAAATTAAATCAGAATTACTTTGTAAGATGTTTTAATTTTAATATCTGTGGATTTAAGAGAGAAAAAGATTACAATTTATCACATTACTAAACTAAAACAAAATTTGTTATCCCTATTTTTTTGCAATTGGATCATGTAAACCTCTGATATCTAGCAGGTTTTATAGGTTAAAATCATTAAAGATCTACAACATCAGGCGCTTTTTTTTAAATACATAAGACCTTGAAAACATCATTAAATGCTATTTGAAACGAATGACACATAAAGTCGTTCTAATTTTTCGTTAGAGGGGATGGTGGAGTTGGCACATTTGATGTGGGGGGGGGGGGCCTTGCCTTCATTTTTGGTTCAAATCTTCCAATTTTTTGGATGCACGCCTAATTAGGGTTCGAAATTCCTAAAACAAAATCAAATTGAACTTTAATGACCTCTAATGACCTCCACAAATAGAAAATATTTCAACTATGGCTTAATGCATATCAAACGAAAGCTAAGAACCCAGGGAATCCAGTAGCAGCAACAGATTCAGTGTTTGACCTTCTAATGACCTCTTACGACCTCTAATGACCTAAATGACCTCCGAAAATGAAAATGTTTAAACTATGGCTCTATGCATATAAACGAAAGCTTGGAATCCCAGGAATACAGTTGCAGCAACGAATCCAGTGTTTGACGTTCTACTGACCTCTAATGACCTCCAAAAATGAAAATGTTTTAACTATGGCTTTATGCATATCAAACGAAAGCTAGGAACCCAGGGAATACAGTAGTTGCAACACATCCAGTGTTTGACCATCTAATGATCTCACCAACTCCACCATCCCCTTTTTCTTTTTAAATTTTGTTAATAAAAAATTTAGTTATTGGTTTAAAATTAACCTGCATCCCTCCCAATCTAAGACCAAGGGCCCCACTGAACAGTTTCTATTCTTAAACATTTTCTTGAAAACCAAAATTTATCCCGAAATGCATCATATCATGAATTCTGACATGAATCCGCCTTAAATGCTGACATAAATGCTGACATAAATGCTGACATGAATCCTGACATGAATCCTGACATGAATCCTGACATGAATCCTGACATGAATTCTGACATGAATCCTGATATGAATCCTGGCATGAATCCTGGCATGAATCCTGACATGAATCCTAACATAATTCCGGAAATTGAATTCTGCCATGAATCCTAACATGAATCCTGACATAAATCCCGATATGAATCCTGACGTGACTGCCTGAAATTAATCCTGACATAAAATCCACCATAATCCCGTAATTAAATCAACGCATAAAACCTGACAAATTCCTATAATGAATCCCAACATGAATCGATGCATAAAACCTGGCAAATTCCTATAATGAACCCAACATGAATCCCAAAATGAAAACATGATTCCTAGAATTCCCAAAATTGAGAATAGCTTCCTTGTGGTTCCAGCCACCTTGGCGTTTTTAGATTCCTTCTTCCGGTCAGATGCTTCGTCTCCATACTGTCGGGTTCCAATCTTCAAATCTAAAAAAAGGAGTTCGATTATCTTCTAGGGAAAGTCAAAATTATAATAAATATTGAGTAACATCGAGATATGTTAAAAAATGAAAGTTTAAAAATGTTAAGCTAAGACCTACAAACGAGAATTAAATTTTAATAATTTAAAGTAAAAAAACGATTATTTTCGTTGATTCTAAGCAAAGAATCAACAACTAATATAGAGTAAACTATCATTAAATAAACCTAAGTTATGGAATGGAAGAATGGAAATCTCCGGTTACATCTGAATACTGAATACTCACCTAGTACACATGGATACTTGTATTTATAAGTCAGGTTTTCTAGAAGGATAAATTCTTGTTGGGTAGGAGCAGTGAAACCTGTTCTAGTTAGAGGAAGAGAAGGAGAACACAATTCGTTCTAAAAAGAAGTCAAATATAACCAAAAAATAGATATATCCGATCAAGTGGATTGTGGAAGGATATTTGATGGAACAAGTTGAGATTTAAAACAACATTAAAAAACATTCTATTTAAAACTTAAATCAATATGATATCAAATTAGGTTTCATATTGTTATTCGTGGAAACTCAACAGCCTTGTTTAAAGTGACTTTTTGCCAAAAAAAGGATAAAATTGCAGGAAAATTATCAAATGTTAGCGTTCTCTTATTTTGAATCACGATTTGATACTTTATAAAAATAATTTCAACGAGGTTAAAAACGCACAGAACTTCCGAATCCTTCCTTAAATCAGAATGTAAATAAACCTAAATAAATACCTTGTTTAGATTTATTCCTATTCTCTTGAGATTGTCCCTATGACACTTGAGGGCCCAGGGATTATAGTTCTTCTCTCCCTTAACCTGCTCATCCTCGAAATATTGATCACTAGGGTTCTCCGTCTCAATCTCTATACTCAAGCATCGTTTCAACCTCATCTTTGGTTTAGTTTCCGAGTAGGGTCTGGAGCATCTTCTCCGGTAGGAGTTCGGAGGATATCCTTTCAGAGTTATATATCCTTCCTCATCCTCACTAATCTCAACCTGGAATATTAAATTCTTTTAATAACGTCGACATTGAAAACTTTTCCACAATTTGAAATAGTATGTTAGTGTCAAAAATATGCTTCTTGCTACACCAAGTTCTTCTGAAGAATGTCAAATTTCTTTTTTGTTTGTCTTATAGCAACGTTTTCTTAATGGGACTGTAAGCGTAATTTTTAAGTGGCCTTGCAATTAAAGAGAGACATTTCAGATTCACAAAGGTACCCTTTAAACCGTTGTCTGGACAACGATGAGGTAGATACCCTTATTTGTATAGCTAAAGATTGAGTGGCGGGAGACTCGAGGTTACAGTGTACACTGTACACTCTGTGCTATCGTACACTTGCGCGGTTTCTTGGTCCTTAATTTCCCGCTCTATATTAATAGAATATCTACGAAACCAAGGTTTATAGGGTATCGTTGTAAATAGGTTATGCCACTCTATAAATGGAAGATAAATTACGCGTTCTGTCTCTTAAAGTTAAAGTCAAAAATGTAATAGTATGCTTATACGTAACATTACGTAGTGAACTACGATTATTTTATATCCGTTTTTAATAAAATCGGTTAAATAGATGTTTTCAATATTTAAGAGCTTCTTAGCTGTTTGATTGATGTTTGATGTTGCAGAGAGAACTTACTATCATAGAACCCTTGAAAGTTGGTGTGAAGGGTAGAAGGTTTTGAGGTAGAGTAGAGTAGAAGTTGAACTCTCTCTGCTCGAAGGGTTTACATACTGTTACAGGATCCAGACAAAACAAAGGACTGTGCCCTCCAACCTGCAAAATATCATAATATCTAAACCCGTCTTTGTTTTCTACAATTAACTGCTTTTGTTTTCCTTTTCTACAATCAGTGGTTGTCTGCTATAAACCATTTTCAATAGTTTTTCGTCTGATGCATTCTACAGTCTACAGTTCTCGGCTATTTTCTGAAGTTTATGATTCTCTACAGTCAATCGTTCATCGTAAATCGTCAACCGTCAGCCGTATACCGTTTACCGTATATCGTATACGTCTACCAATTGCTGTCTGTCATATTCTGTCAACTTCATACATGATGAGCACAAGATATAGCTATCACGTTCACATTCAACTTTAAAACCCAGTTAGAGAAATTATAAGATTGAACTATTTATCCCTCAAAACAGTTATGGTCTTAGGACCAACCTGATGTATGAATGGTTCAAGTTTCAGTTCTTCCTCGGAGATCATTTCCGGAGCAAGATTAGTTCTCTCCAGCATTCTGAATCATACATTGTTCTGAAATCATCTTATTCAATCTCGAGCCAAGAGACAACTTTTGTATTTCATTCAATACAAAATATTTAAAAATGAATAAATTTTTTTCAATATGGGAGAAATTAATTTTATAAATGCACCTTCTTTAATAAATTAAATGCTATGTTAAAAATTCAAAATAAATTTGTTAAGTTACAACTACAATACAATGAGTGAATAGTTTAAATTCATCATCGGTTTTGAAATAATCTAACCGGTTTATTTGTTTAGTGACAATCTATTATTCAGACAACTTCTTTCTATTACATTACTATGAGTGTTATCTGAGCAACATAAAGAATATAACAAAATTTAGGATTGTCTGGGCCGGGGTTGGTTAATTAACATTAAAAATCATGATACAGGTTTTTGACATGAGTATCCGGATCAATTGAAGAGACCGATTATTAAGTATCCGGCAGGGTTGTTTGATCCAGGGATCAGGAATTATGCGGCAAGAATGTTGGATAGAGGGTTCAGGAAGTATCCAAGGTGTACCTCCCCTAAATCAAGGTGTATCCTAGGATAGAGTGATCAGGAAGTATCCAAGGTGTTGAATGGAGATCAGGAAGTATTCGAGGTGATTAGAAGTATCCAAAGAGTTGGATAGAGTGATCAGGAAGTATCCAAGGTGTTGAATGGAGATCAGGAAGTATTCGAGGTATAGTGATTAGAAGTATCCAAAGAGTTGGATAGAGGGATTAGGAATTATCTAAAGTGTTGGATATAGGGATTAGGAAGTATCTAAAGTGTTGGATAGAGGGATTAGGAAGTATCTAAAGTGTTGGATAGAGGGATTAGGAAGTATCTAAAGTGTTGGATATCCAAAGAGTTGGATAGAGGGATTAGGAATTATCTAAAGTGTTGGATATAGGATTAGGAAGTATCTAAAGTGTTGGATAGAGGGATTAGGAAGTATCTAAAGTGTTGGATAGAGGGATTAGGAAGTATCTAAAGTGTTGGATAGAAAACATGAAGTATCCGAGGTGTTGGATATAATGATCAGGAAGTATCCGAGGTGTAAGATAGAAAACAGGAAGTATCCAAGGTGTTATATAGAATGATTAGGAAGTATCCCAGGTGTTAGATAGAAAACAGGAAGTATCCGAGGTGTTGGATAGAATGATTAGGAAGTATTCCAGGTGTTGGATAGAATGATCAGGAAGTATCCGAGGTGTTGGATAGAATGATCAGGAAATATCCGAGGTGTGGGATAGAATGATCAGGAAGTATCCTAGGTGTAGGATAGAATGATCAGGAAGTATCCGAGGTGTTGGATAGAATGATCAGGAAGTATCCTAGGTGTTGGATAGAGGTATCAGGAAGTATCCGAGGTGTTGGATAGAATGATCAGGAAGTATCCGAGGTGTTGGATCAAGGGATTAGTAAGGAACATTCTCAAATAGATAACTGACACTCTCTCCGTTGTGTGTTCTCCTGACAGCTTCTGCAAACATCATACTCACGTCGATCACCTGAAACCATATTTTTATCAAATTCAAAGGACGTAGTTTTCAGAATTAATTTAGTGTAACAGATCACTTTCAGGTTTACTGATATGAGAGGAGGAATTTTAAATGATTAAAATAAAACGACTATTTTTTAACAAAATGGAAGAAAAATATAGCAAATTATCGGTCTGGAAAAAACGTGGGATAAAAAGACTGGGAAGTTGAATCGGAAAATGAACAATGAAAAACCTGGATTTTGTCGCAGAGCATCATGTTCCGCTCCTGTGGGATGGTGTTGGTCACCACGATGGCCTCGAAGTGACTGGAGTTGATCCTGTCAATCGCTTCTCCCGAGAATATCCCGTGAGTGAGAATAGCGTAGATCTTCTTCGCACCATCATCAACTAGTTTCTGAGCTGCCTAAAAATAAACCTTTTAAATTGTTGTAAAAATATACAATACTATTCGAGTTCAGCATTTTTTGTATTTAAACTCAATCGAGTTGTTTTGTAAAAATGTTTAGACACATCCCTGAACCTTATCAGTACTATTCAGTATTAAAATTATTTTGAGTAAAACTAGTAATATTTTTTAAATGTTACGTGGTAAAAATATTATAACAGTAATTTTTTTATTATCATTATTTATTCTATTTTGGAAACACAATAAGTTTGTGAAGTTGTGAAGATTCCTATTGTGAAGGTTCTGTGCAAAAACTATATAAAAAAGGCAAGAACAATCAATTAATCAATCAATCTAGTCCAGATTAATACCTGAACAATAGTTCCACAAGTATCTGCCATATCATCAATAAGAACTGCAATCTTACCCTTAGCATCTCCGACCAGAACCATGCTTGCAACCTGGGCAAATTTTGTCATTTTGGAAAATTTGCATTTAGCATATTTATCAAAGAAAGATTGCTCGATTACTAAGGATCCATTTATGAGACGGAACAGGAATCCAAGATCCGTTGTGTGAACAAGTAAATTTAGGTCCAGACTCCAGATGCTGCTCAAAATTATTTCCAGGTTATACTAATATCCTTTACGATGGCAAAATTTCTAAAATAATGACTTCTTCCCCTAACTTCTAGTCTAAAATATTTATTGACTGAGATAAATGTATTTTAACGATCTTTCTCAAACTTTCATTATAGTTAGTATATTGTCACTTGGGTCCAAAGGCCAGAATATTTCGGATCTAAGTTAAAGAATTGATTGTGCTGAAATTGTTTTATTTTACCTCGTTAGCTCGCTTTCTTTCCTTGTGGATAAGGGCAAAGTCAATATTGAGTCGATCAGCAATTGAAGTTACTCTCTGTAAATAATTGTATATTTAATAAGTTGTTGTAAAAGATTTTACTTAGATAAATGGCATAGATCGCACACGCCTCTGCCGCTTTAGTAATTGTAAATTGGCGGTACAATCCAAAGTAGGACTGCAAAGGTTGACCCAGCTTGGATATTCAAATGTACACAGGTGGGACGAGAGATATATATGTTTTTGATGAACTCTATTTAAGTTCCAGCTGACCCTGTCATATAAGTTCCTTAACTATCCTTTACAAAACAAACATTGACCACTCAAAATTAACTTCATTTTGAATCGGATCAAGATTCTAGATCTGTTCCTAAAGAAAACAAAAATGTGCGGAAATCTTAATTGTTCAAATCTATAAAAGGTTCCAAAATGCACAACACAAATAATTAATTCAGTTGAAATAACATCTAAAAGAAAAGATTTAGATCACTAAAGTAACGCGTTTCACTTATATATGTTAAAAAATGAAATTAACAATTAGAAATGATTGGATATATGAGAAAACATTTTCAAATCGCATCGGCTCACTCAGTAATTGTACTTCCTTCCCTCTTCAATACTGTCGGTCAACTCTTTCTTTGGAAAGAGAATCTTGTTTTTTTATTCAGTTTCTGCTTAAATACTACACCTCAAGTTTGACCATATTAACTTTTATTAAAAAAAAAAACTCCCCTCCTCCTTTTTAAATTTGCAACAAAAAATTTGTTCATCTGCATCTTTTTTTGTTATTAAATATATTTTTTCCTCGTTTTTTGCTTTAAAAAAATATGGTTTTTCATATAGAATGAAGCAGGATAAGTAATATATCGAAATATATTTTCTCCGAGTTCCATCAAGTTTTTTACGAAGCAGTTAAAACTCTCTACCACAAGGGAATAGTTAGTGGTTACTGTTTTATAAGGCACGTAGAAAATCTTACCTTGGCTCCTCCTGCGTCGGGGGAGACAACAATAGCCTCCTCCTTGTAGGTTGGGATATTCTCTCTGATCCACTTTACCACAGCAGGCTCAGCGTACAGGTTGTCTACAGGGATATCAAAGAAACCCTGAATAATGACAGACTAATCTATATATAAATTTGGCTTGTCTGCTTGTCTGTCTGTCTGTTTGTATCCAATAAACGTCAAAACGGCTGAACCGATCGGGCCCAAATTTTTGTTGGGACATCTAGGGACCCCAGGGAAGGTTTATGAATGATTGAAATTTTAAATTTTTGTCTCCATCAAAATTCGATCGTCATTAAATTTTTGAAAATTTTGAAAATCCGCGAAATTTTTTGTGAAAATCCGCGAATTATTTCTGTTTTGTTTTATGATGTACACAAAGAGAACATGTTCACAATTAATTTAGAAGATGGGCGCGAAGCGCCCTCCAAGGCTAGTTATGTAAATATGCAAACCTGTCAACCAAAAATATAAAATATTAGGATTTAAGATACTTTTCGCACTAATCTCTATTGCACTAACACAAAGTTTTGTTGAAAGCACAGTTCGGTCTCAATTTTACCTCATAATGAATCTTCAATCAAATCAAAAATCATGCGTGGGTTTAGAAATTCAGAACTACTGGACTATCTCTAATGTTCGTTGTTCAAATAAGAAAAGATTATAATTGAAAAATTCAATCAAAATCAAAATCAATTGATAATAAATCAATATTTTAACTTTATTTTTATTTGTCCAGAGCTGAAAACTTTAGAATGAGATATCCTTAATCCCGATTACTAAATCTGAGTATCCAATGGACACACTTTTGATTTTCTTCTTAAACCGTTCTTTCTTGGATATAGTGGAGAAAAATCAAAAACCGGGTTTTCTAAATTAGAGTGTACCTCCCGTTTCTGTATATAATCTTAAATTGCGCGCAAAATTTTAAATTTATCGGCTTTATATACACGACTCTGATTGGTTGAATTTTATACACTTTTCAGGATATATAAGTAAAAGATTAGGTCAGTCTTGATATTAAGAAAAAGAGAGGATCAATCATGAATCTCGATATCCACCATTCTAACGTTTTCAGCTCAGAACTCTCTTCTTTTACCTGTATTTGTGAGGCATGAAGATCCATTGTAATGATATGATCAGCTCCGGCAACACTCAACATGTTTGCAACTAGTTTAGCAGATATAGGAGCTCGAGACTTGTCTTTCTTATCTTGTCTGAGTAAGTTATATTTATTGAATTTAAAAAGACTCATCTACCCAAATATATTTTTGTCGCTTAGTTCAAATCCTTCCTCATGAAACCCTTAGTTAGTGTAAAATAAATATTGCAGAAGAATCGTATCATTTAAATAAGCTGTACTATGTACATTGTACATGGTTTAAAATTTTAAAATTAGGGGGAGTGCAGGATACATAATTTCTATGAACCTCAATTAAAAGTAAAGATTGTGCAAAGACTATACACATATAAACAAATACAGACCTGGAGTAAGGATAGACAGGGATTACTGCCGTGATCCTCTCCGCAGACGCAATCTTACAAGCATTGATCATGATAAGGAGCTCCATCAGGTTGTCATTCACTTCTCCGCACCCAGACTGTACAATGTACACGTCCTCTCCACGAACAGACTCTCCTAAATGATAGTAAAAATGAGTTACGATTGATCTCGCTCCCCTCTCCTATCAATTTTGTATACAAGATACTTTAACGCAATACAAATTACTCATATTTATTTTCAATAATTTAGGGTTAGGCTAAGACAATTTCTGGGCCCAGCGCTGCGGCTAGGACTAACTAGGGGGGCCGAGTACCAGGTCTAAGACAGTCTAAGGGGCCGGGCGATGTGGCCACATGTCCAACTTTGACCATGAGGTATTCATGAGCTCCATGTATAAAACTAGAAACTTAATTTTGATAAGAAACTCACCAATCTCAACATTTGTTTCCCCGTTAGCAAACTTCTTTGCAACGACATTAGCATGGGAAATACCGAGCCTGTCGCAGATCTTTTGACCAAGGTCAGGATGGGAAGATCCAGAAAATATCTTGATATTGGGCATTCTGTCTGAAAAATAGAACATTTTAACCCCCCGTTTGACATTACATTTCATCCGTGCCAAAGCTTCTGTAATTGATAACTTATTGGCTATTTTAAACGCAAGCTGTTGTATGACTGTATTTAATGTACAGGGTGTCCCACATCATTTCGGATAGTTTATGGCGCTAGATTTCGCTTTTCGGGACTAATCAGAAAATTAGAAAAGAATGAATCATTTAAAAAAATAGCGTAAGCCAAAATAAAAAAATTTTCACGCGGGAAACAACAGTTTTTTTTGGAGTATTATGTTTGTATTTCAGCCTTAAATCTTGGAGATAATCCAGTGTGATATGGAACGCTCTATATTTAACCCCTTAGAAGCCATCTGCAGCAGGGACGTACGAGGGGGGGGGCCTTGCATTTCCCTTCCTCAGGCAATATACATTTTACAGTGCAAGCTGCACTCACCTAAACTAAAAGATTAAGAAAAGAAATAAAATATATTCTGATTCACAACTATACCCTTCAAAGCTTTGTCTGATCAAGTATTGCATTAAATATCCATGTTTCCCATTTTGAAAACTGAATATTTTTATTTTTGGTTTCTCTACAAAAGTGACTCGCGCATTTCCTGCTTCAGAAACGACGGAGAAATGAAGGTTTCAAAGGTACATCAGACATGCCACTCTAATGGAGGGTCACTTGAAATTACGCAATTACGTAATCCATTTAAGTACAATTACATCGTATAAAAAAATACTTTAAAATCTCACTTCAGCCCTTAACTAATGTTTCATTAAAAAAGCTTTAATCAATACTAACTTCAGTGTAAATATATACTTGATATAATAATTCATAAAACAATATGTATCAACCCTATGAAAATATAGATATTTTTTTAGAAACGTTTCCATCTCTATTTATCATCCCTTCAAGCTTACACCTCAGTATTAAGAGGGATTGTCTGATGAGTCCACTTAAGAAAATTAAATAAATAATTGGTAATTTCTTAGAGAAAATTTCCAAAAATCATATACTAGGACGGGCCCAAATAATTTATTAACACTTGTGTAATATGAAAGTGTGTTTATGATCGAATAGTTAAAAAATGTATCAATGTTTTTCAAAAAACGGTGTTTTTAAGGTGCCCACCCTACAGAAATTCGCTCGTACACCCTGATCTGCAGTTATATCCAAGAGTTTGAGTTCAGAACTTTTGACTAACGAGACATCAAATGAACTATAATTCTATAAAGTATAAATGTGCGAATGCCGCTAATTACCTTTACTTCATATTTGTTCCTAAAACAAAGACGATCAAATAATTTTAATCAATCAAGCTCAATTTGGCTATAAAAATTTAGTTTGAACTAATACCGTTTGAACTATTGGCTTTTTGAACTATACATGTGGTACCATGTGTCCAGTAGTTCAAACGACTATAATAGCTCAAAAAATAACATTCTGTGAGCATTTGAACTATTTTTTTTGCTCATTTGATCGTTCAATTTGAACTATTAAAAATACAGAGCGTCCCATATCATATTAGATTATCTCCAATCTTTAACATCCAAAATAAACCCTTAATACTCGAAAAAATTATCATTTTCCGCAAGAAAATTCTTACATATGCCTTATGTTATTTTTCAAAATGATTCATTCTATAATGAAATTTTCTAATTATATAGTTCCAAAAATCGTAATTTAGACACGTTCTCGGTCTATTATGATGTGGGACACCCTGTAGTTCAAAATGAGCCAAAAAAAATTTAAATGAGCCAAATAATAGTTCAAATGATCAAAAAAATAGTTTAAATGAACCAAAAATAACGTACAAATGAGCAAAAAAATAGTTCAAATGAACTGCAAAAAATATTTCAAATGAGCAAAATTATAGTTCAAATGAGCAAAAAAATAGTTTATATTAGCAAAAATTTAGTTTACACGAGCCCAAAAATAGTTCAAATATACAAAAATAGTTCAAATGAGCAAAACAATTATATTTCATAGGAGCAAAATATAGTTGAAATGTGTCAAAAACAGTTGACACAACACTCAAGTATATCTCATATATTCAACACATGGATAAATTTGGTAATGTGGCCGCAGACCCCGGCCCCCTAGCCTGTTCTAGCCGCGGAGCTCGGCCCCCTAGCCTGTCCTAGCCGCGGAGCTCGGCCCCCTAGCCGCAGTGTCTTAACCTAACTTAACCCTAAATATACTAATTTTGTAGAAAGTTGCGGAATTTTTTTTTACTCATTTGAACTATTTATATTTGCACATTTGAATTATTTTTATGTCCATGGTGAAACATTTTTTTATAATTTAAACTGTAATTTTAGTAGGGTAAATAGAATATTTTAGCAGTTTTGTTGAGTTTTAATAAACTGGAATCTGCAGACAAACAGCTAATATCTCTGTCAATTTTGAAACTGACAAATTGTTAGACCACATTTTGGAAATCCCGAGACTACTTGTTTTTGGTGTTAAATGTTTTTACTATGATACTACATTATATTTCGAAAAAATCACTCTTGGAACAAAGACGATATAGAAGTCGTCCTTTAATTCCCATGTTTGTTGGGACACCCTGCACTGTTGGAATTTTTCAAATTATAAAGTGAAACTAGACAAAATAATATAATAAAAATAATTTGAGAGCTTTCATAGTAATTTTCACTTTCTGAATATGATTTAATTTTGTCCTAAACTTTTTTGGCAATTTTATATTTTTTTCTCGATATCACCGATTAGAGACAGTTCATAAATTTCATGTGTTTTGAAGTTTTTTGGATTAAACATTTTTCAGGACTTTTTTTACACAATTCGTTTGTTTGAAAATTTCATATTTTACATTATTTTATTGCTTAAATTTGCAAATGAAATGAAATTTAACATAAATGATAATATATCACAAAATTGTAAATTATATGCCATTCTTAATCCTATTTATTCATTTTAATGTACATATATGAAAAGTTAGAGATTATAAAAAATCGGCGAACAGAAATTTACAGACAGGGTGGACCACAAAAACAGGTGAAAAATGTTTTTTGGAGACGTTTGAACGGCTTGAAATTGGTCGATGGGGGTTACAATTTTCATTTCTACGCATTGTTATAAAATAAATAATTTTTATAAAAAAGGTGTTGTATATTTTGTATATTTTATATATTTTGTATATTTTGTATATTTTGTATATTTTGTATATTTGGTAAATTTTATATATTTTGTATATTTTGCATGTTTTGTATGTTATGTATATTTTGTATATTTTGTATATTTTGCATATAACGGAAACGCTAAATATCTACTTTTGAGGTCCAACATCAAACAAATCAAGATGATTTATTAACAGAAATAAATATAAAAATGTAAATTACGAAAAATAATTATAAAAACGGACATCTGCAGTTCCAATATGAGATTAATGAAGTACACACGGACGGATTATTATTTGGTGTACTTATCAATTATTTTTAACAAATTTTACCTAAAAATTAAGGCTTTTCTTTTTTAAAATAGAAAGCTCGCAGCAATTGGGAAAAGAAAGCCTTGGTTTTCATAAAATAAGAAATAACCATAATGAAAACAAAAACAAGTTAAACAAATGTAACAAACGAATTCAATGAAGTAAAAAACAGGAATGTTTTTAATTTTGTATGTGCTATATATAGTTTATTTAGAAATTGAGTTTTGACACAAACTCTGACTTTCTGATCCCTATATGTTGCAATCCAATGTCGCGAATGTCGTAGACCTTAAATATTTCTAACTATATAAGTCTATCAAAGATTTTCACCATGAGGTTACAAAGATGAATAGGGATTAGAAAATTTTGGTTGTGACAAAAAGTCAATTCTTTTTTTGTTCATTATAAAAATTCCTTGAGCAACCTATTTTATATTTAACAGTTTATGATATTCAGTGGCCCCTGCTTAAATTCAACTTTTTTAATATTCTAACAAGGGTACTCATTATGTTCAACTATTGTTGAGCGAATCGCAATTGATTTTCAATCTTTGATAAAAGCAGTTTGAAAAAAAGAGATTCAATGGCGGTGAGAAATCTAAGCTTATCCCGGCCGTCCGTAATCTACAGTTTAACTTACGAACAATATTTAAATTTTACTGTACAGCTAGAGATAAGAGTTGTAGAAAGTTATAAATATATGTATAGGGTTTAATCAAGAAGGCATGGAGAACTACGAAGGGTGGGAAAGGATTTGATTACATTTTCCTGAGCATGTCTAATATGGCAAAATGTAAAATCCTATTCTACTTAGTTAGTCTCGAATCTATCAATTGAAATGTCCCTATTTAGTGTCGAATTTGTCAATGGAACTATTCCTAGTTAGACTCGAATCTATTAATGGAACTTTTCCTTTTTACAGTCTCAAATATATTACTGAAACTATTCCTAGTTGGTCTCGAATCTATCAATGGAACTATTCCTATTTGGTTTCGAATCTATCAATGGAACTATTCCTAGTTGGTCTCGAATCCATCAATGGAACTATTCCTAGTTGGTCTCGAATCCATCAATGGAACTATTCCTAGTTGGTCTCGAATCTATCAATGGAACTATTCCTATTTGGTTTCGAATCTATCAATGGAACTATTCCTAGTTGGTCTCGAATCCATCAATGGAACTATTCCTAGTTGGTCTCGAATCCATCAATGGAACTATTCCTAATCAATATCGAATCTATCAATGGAACTATTCCTTGTTGGTCTCGAATCCATCAATGGAACTATTCCTAATCAGTATCGAATCTATCAATGGAACTATTCCTAATTGGTCTCGAATCTATCAATGGAACTATTCCTAGTTTGTCTCAAATCCATCAATGGAATTGAAGTTGAGGTCCTCCAACAGTTTTCACAACCTAGAAAACAGAAAAAAGATCAGAATTGGAAGATTTTTGAAGTTAATTAGGAAATACATTGAATATTATTGAAATTTTTATTTGCCTGTTGCTACAATATATTTCGAGAACAGTCTTTTCATTTCTTTAAAGTCTTTAAAAAAATAATGTATTTTCTACGAATAACACCGGGAAAATTGAAATTGTTCAACAGCATTTTTCCAGAGCGAAAATCCAATTTTCAGATAGTAAACTGAGGATATCTCCATATTCCAAGTTTAGATAAAGGTTTAAAGCGCTCTTTTAATTGAAGATCACTTAAAATTTTCTAGTCCCAATATCTTTGCAGTCTGAGGCCGTAACCTTTCACGTGAATTCTGTTAGATAGAGTAGTCTTAGTTTTAAATATCGAAGGTTTACAGCACTCAGAATTGTAAAGAATGTAGGGATCAGACAAATATATTTTGTAGCGAGTAAACAGTTCCTTGGAAAAAAACCAAAAAAAGCTTACCTTATCCCCCTCTCCTAAACTGAGATGGGTTGCAGTTCTATCACTGAGCTCCAGTGCTGTCTCACTACTGATCCGTAGTCTCTTATGTGTCGGAGAAACTGGTCGTGGTCTATGTGTGTCTACAGCTTCTATAGGCAGCCGGATATATTCAATCTAAACAATTCAAATTTAAAAGTTTATATCGAGTGTTCACAAAAAATATAAAGCATTAACATTTATCATTTTTTTAACTGAAATGTGCTAGAATAATTTGTATAGAATATTTACGACTCCAGACGTCGTAATTTGAATACATACTATCACTAAAAGTAAAAAGCTACTAATACTGCTAAATTTAATTCACTGTGGTCCAGAACCCCATTTTCCAGTGTGCGGAGTGCGGACCTATAATAGTATACTAGAAGAAATAACTTTTATCTTGAAATTTCAAAGGTTTAAACCATCAGGTTGAATAGATATAAAGATTGGAGGGTTAGAGTTCGTGGAAAAAAAATTAGTTTTTTTTTTTTCCAAAAAAGAACAATTAAGTTTAATTGTGTTACTAACTTGGAAACCCAGCTTTGCCTGCAAACCAAACTTTCTTTATTCAAGTCAACGCACTTAATTTAGAATTTTTAAACCATGTTGAGAACATTCCTGTGAGTCTACCGAGTTCCATAATCAAAATTTGAGGCAAATCGGTCAAAGGGTTTACGAGTAATGATAGGAAATACGAACAAACAAACAGAGATTACTACTTTATATTTATAGATTTCTGAGAGTAATACTAAAAACACCAGAGTCTATTTAGATCTACCTACCTCACAACCGTAGGCAACTGGCGTGAGTTTGATGAGAGTATGGAGCGGGACGGATATGTATGGTAGCTCCGAAAGTGGTTTCTCCAGGAAGTATGCCAGGATACACCTCAACACTGCCTGGTGCCCGATAAGTACAACATTTCCCTGCCTAAATATGTATCTTGTATCTTTTACGAGTATGGTCACAACTTTTCAGAATTTGTCAGTGACGTCTGAGTTTTCTGAGTTCCAAAATGTGTTCTGCATTTTTCCTACTCGCATGGAACTTAATGCTCCCCACACTTATATTCTCAAATCTCTCTTTGCAACTTGATGGCGTAAATCATTGACATTTCAAACATAGATCTAGACAATTTCAGAGTTTGAAATATCAAAGGTCTACTACGTCAGATAGTTTGTGGCGAGTATTTTAGTTTTCATGAGGTTTAGAGGATCGATTTCAGAGTTTGAAATATCAAAGGTCTACTACGTCAGGTAGTTTGTGGCGAGGTTTAGAGGATCGATTTTTCCTTATTAGAAATCAAAACTGGAAAACTAAGTCTTTTTTTCTAAAAAATGATTGTTGACCTCTCTGAAAATCATGAATAGAATGCTTCCCTATACAGTTTAAATGTCTAATTGATATTTATTGATCAAAACAATCTAGCTTGATGGCAATAAAAGAATATTAAGATCTGCAAATTCTTTTTAGAAACTGCAGCATATATATTCAATTAAATAAATAACTACGTAGAGAAAACAATTAACAATTAGTTTCAAGTTACTCTGCGTTTTTGTAAATTGTTTATTTTCACAAGTGGTGTATTGGCAAAAGTGAGCCAAAATCCAAGATATTGAAAATCGTTCAAAACTTAACATTTAAGGGAATTTTCTAATATGCAGCGTTTGCCGGCTAAACTAAAGGAATTGAGTTTTTGCCACTAACTCAAATATTGTAATCCCTATATCTTTTCAACCTGATGGTGTAAACTTTTGATATTTCAAATTTACACTATTTGATCCAACTAAATTTATAGTTTTAAATTTCAAAGGTCTGCAACATTGGGTTGCAAGGATATAGCCATCAAAGATTGTGGCAAAGACTCAATTCCTTTAAAGATGAAATTTCGATTGCACAGCAGGACTTATATTTCATGCCAGGTCGGCGTCACGTTTAACCTTTTTATTACAACTAATGTTTATTCTGCACATCGCTATTGGTTTTCTGATTAACGTAGAAGACTTTTATACAACATGTTCTACAGCCGATCAAAGGAACTGAGTTTTGTTACAAACTCTGATTTTCTTATCCCTATATCTTTGCATTTTAATGTCGGAGACCTTAGATATTTAAAACTATTAATCATTTTAGATCAAATTATGATAGTTTGAAATATCAAATGTTTACACTATCAGGTTACAAAGATATAGCTTTTTAAAATCAGAATTGGACAAAAACTCAGTTCCTATTGCTCTATAATCTTAAACGTTCAAATATCTAAGAGTAAAAATTATTAATGAGCTTTGTTTGATATTTTTATTTTTCTCAAAATGGGAAGTAAGAACACTTTTGAAGCTGGTTCATTGCAAAGCAAACTACATCCAGCTTTCCAAGAGATTTATCCGAATATATAAATCCCCTGTCTTAATCTATACTTTCAACTGTAGTTTAGGAAATGTATTTCCTATTTTCATGATTAAAGAGAGTGTAGCGTAAATTAAAGTGACCCTCCATGCAAAGATTGTATTGTGTTCCCAACGGTGCCCTTGAAACCTTTGTTTGATAAGGAAGATATTGTCGTTTTTCTAGGTTTAATTCTAATAATTTCTGCATATTTTCCTGCAGTATATAAATTCGCAATTCTCGTTTGTAAAGAACCAAAAATTAAAACAATTAGTTTTTAAAGTTATGAATATGGTAATTAACTATATTTATACTTGATAAGACAACGGTGATAAGGGTAACCTTATGAATCGGACATTGCCATTTTTGCATGGATGGTAACTTGAATACCCTTACAGTCCTTTTAAGATAATAAGTTAGTTAACGATTTAAAAAACTTCCTCTAACCTTGCACTTATTTGAAAAAAATAAGACGATTTAAATAATATTTTTATTTGAAACAATACAAAATAATACTCTTATCACAATATTGTATATGTATAGTTAGTTATATGTATATATGTATATGAAAATATATCTACATTGTTTACAAATAATTGCATATTCAGACTAGAAAGGTTTCAAGAAGATCTTGTTCTGAGTTTCAGTAAGCCATCTCAGCTCCCCAGGGTCGGTAGGGTTTACCGTGAGGAGGAGGATGAAGATACGGTCCTCCGGGTGGAGGAATAGGTAAAGAGGAGAACCCAGAGTAGTTTGTGTATCCACTATTTGCGTAGGTCGGAGAGGAGTGTGTAACTCCAGCTCTTGAGTAGGTGGAAACCTCGGAGTTTATAAAGGTTTGGGATTCAATTGATTTATCCTGGATATGCGCAGGAATTTGATAATGGTGTGACGGATATCCATTATGCCAGGGTACAGTAGCTCCAGCTCCTCCTCGAGATCCATAGTTGTGGAGATGGGCCATGAGACGGAGACGGAGAGGATCCTGCAGATCCATTCCCTCCACTGCAACCAGGTACCTGGATACTTCCGCTACACAATCCCTAAACCCAACATTCTGGTAATCCATCGCCATTCTTTGATCCGGATACTCGTTCCGTCCTTGGACATTCTTCAAGTAATCAACAGTCATCTGCAGAATCTCAGCTTTTTCAAGCTTTGTGGAGGAAGATTTCTCAACAGCGCTGGGAACTAATCTCTTCAGTTCTAGAAGACTGTCGTTGATCCTATCTCTCCTTCTCTTCTCAATCAATCCTCTCCTTCTCTTTCTAGTAACTCCTCCTTCTCCTCCCTCCCCTGCATCCTCGCTCCTGGATACGGAGCAAGAATCGTCATAGTCGGAGTAATCCTCTTCAACCTCGGAGAGTTTCCTTTTCAAAGCCATTGTACGTATCCTGGTGTTATGTCAAGGTGAAGGATCAACTGTTGAGGAGCACGTGTAAAGTAACCTGAAGTGTGTCCGTGAAGGCCGAAACACGTGTATCAGGTCTGGTGAAGATGGTTCTGAGGAAAGGTTAAGGTTGCTTCCTGGTGTATGTCTGACACAAGACTGCTATTTGTGGCACGCTTCTCGCCGTCCGTCGTTGATTCCCCGGGGGGGATTTCTTCAAAACCGTGGGAAATTCCCCCAAACCAGCATTATCCCAATTAGAAAGCTATTCATAATACCCTACTGCTCAAAAATCAAATTGCTCACATTTTCTGCAAAAATGCAATAAAAAGTTTGTTTAATTGCATTCAAATATATAATACAGAAAATGTTAAATTCTATTCAATTAGGATTGCTTTGTTAAAGTTGGCGTTTGGCACACAGCCCTCCTTTGGGCCAGGAGTCGGGTTGGATCGATATTCTTAAAAAATCAATATTTGGGACGCGGAGATGGTTTGCTACAAGTTCCCACGTAGCGTCGTGGGAACAAGTTAGAGGAACGGAGCAGAGCTGGGGGATACTCTTCTTAAACCCTTTATTTCATTATTATTTGATTGTTATATTCTATATAAATATATGTTCATATGTATATTGTATCTGTGTTGTGTCTTGATAGTATACATATATTTATATATATTTCAGTTTTTAAACATTTTATTAAAAAAGAATTATACTAAATAATAGATGATAAGGGTTCACTGAATCTTTTATCAATAACAAACCTGCATCAATCTCATTTAGAGCTTTCCATCTTTCCTAAAATAAAAAATTCTTTATCTACAGAAAAATCAATCTAAAAATAAAAAAAATAAATTCCATGATCATGAAGCCGACCTGAGGCGCATCAATATCCGCGGCAGTTTCTATAGTTCTCTTCAACCACGAGGTCCAGACTCTCATTTCTAAATATAACATCTTAAGAGACTATTAGCGTTTCACAACAGGATCTCTACAATATCTTCTCCGTGTCCAGGAATTATCAAAGAACGACTCATGAATTTCTTAAACAAAGGAACTGAACACATGCAACTTTTCAGTTCCTTTCTCATATTTAAGATAAAAGTACGACGCCCTTCATGCAACCGTTTATCAGATATCAGAATGACTTTGCATCATGCTCTTTTTTTCGGTAAATCTTATTTTAAGATAATGTCAAAACTTAAAAAAAGAAATAATTACTTTGAAAAACTGTAGTCCTATTATTCGTATATCTTTGCAGCCTGATGGCAAAATCATAGTTTGAAATATCAAGGGTCTATATGACATAAGGTTGCAAAGATATAAAGATTAGAAAAAAAGATTTAGTACCGAGTAATTTATAGTTTCTTTACTTTGCCACCAAATCAATCAAATAAAGAGTTTCTGTCCAAATGTTACCTGGAATATTTTGCTTGTTTATAAACTCTGCTAAAGCTGCAGCATAAAATGTTCCTCTCTCCGATAGATTGGAGTCTCCTCCGATCTTACCAGCAACATTAAACTCAGACTCTCCATGCCGAGTATATATATTCAAGTAGCAAAAAATGAGCGTTGAGTAAAAAATATAAATAGATTATTGGATTAGCTCTAGGGGAGAAACAGTACAAAAAACAACAAAAAAACACAAAAACTTACAAAAAAAGGCATCTCAGTGTTACCAAAGAAAAATATGAAAAGAAATAATGTACAAAAACTAAAATATGGTACGGGATAGCAGGGGGCAAAGCTCCCCCCCACCACCACCAACCCGCCCTTAGAAAGCTAATCTTCTCTATGAAGATCTTTATTGCAATCCTATCTCAATATAAAGAAAAAGTTTATGTGGAAATACTTCACGACTTGTCTACTTAGTAACTTCTCTAGTTTTATTTTACATTTATAAAGGGTTAAAATTTGATTGGTTTAATATTGGAAATTTCCGGGGAAAATAAGTAAATTGCATTATTCTGGAACCATTCTTAGCAATAAAGGGATTTGGGAGGTACATTGCACCGTTATCAGCAAGAGGGGGAGGGGGAGGGGGAATGAATCGGAGTTGGCAAATTAAACGACCTTATTCTTTATCAATCTGTAATCAAGAATGCTTATTGCTTATATATATAACCTCGTTGCTTTTTGCTTTCTAATACAAATAATTCTTACTGATCATCATTTTTAATATTTTTAGTGAATAAATTTTTGTAGTTACGTAATATGATGTTAGAAATTATCAAATCCATGAATAATAATTAAAGGGCATGTTCCGGTTTAACTTTATTATTGTTTAAAGGGACTGTTTAGTATTTTCACCTGGCACAACAAGACATTAAATAAAATTGATATTTCTCAGAGTTTCCCCGTTTTTGTATGAGAAGTACGGTTTTAAACAGTGCGACATAAAATAAGTTTTTTAACCAATATTAAAAATACTAGATTAAGTTAGATTCATGGTTTTTAATTATCTTGTTTTGATTTCAAAAGGATACATCTAGAAATGCGGGAACAGTCGCTTAAATCTAAGTGAGTATCGCTGAAGTGGAATTACGTATGTTTATGTATGAGAAAATAAATATCGATCCACTCTTGGATAGTTACTAGGTTTCGAACATATATAAGAATGGGGAATATTACCCCTCCCTTCCTACCCCGTATAATTGCAGATAACCCCCCCCCCCCATATTTTAAATATTTTATGTATTAATCAATGAGGAATACACCTTCATTGATATTGAGGTTTATGGGAACCCGCTTTTCTCTCTTTACCTCTCAACCATCCATTGATACATGACATTGTCTGCAGAATTAAAACTACGTGTGCTAAATTCTTAGATTTAAAATCATAAAATCAATCAGAATTTTTTAAATTGAAAGGAATTAAGTCTTTGCAGGGACAAACTTCTGATTCATATATCTTTTCAGCCCAATGTCGTAGACCTTGCACAGGCATTGGGTTTAGAAAATTTAAGTTTGTAGCAAAGACTCATTTAATTCCTTTATGATTCCGAAAAAAATTGTAAATTGCTAATACTTAAGTATTAGATTTGGATGTAAGCTACATTTAGGGTTGTGATTGTAGAACTAACTTATTGGGCCTCTGTCGACATAGTTTCAAATGAAACTCCATTTTACATTTATTCTTTATCTGAGTAACAATCAGAAAGATATCTTAGTTTTTCATCTTGAAACTTAAAAAATTCTGTCACTCTCCTTCCTTGTCTCTTCACTGCGTCATAAAACCGCAATTGAAGACTTTGATTTGTAGATTAAAAACTAGGTTCCTTGAAACAAGGTGGAAAGTCCTTTATGATTAGATTGTGTTACATTTAACCATGCTTAATAACAGCAATTACCTTTCTAGCTCCATGATAACAGGTTCCAGCCTTGCAACCAGATCCTCGTAGGACTCTCCCCCTGGATATCTGTAGGTCAGCTTGTTACA